GCACAAAGTTACACAGAGAAACCCTGTCTCACAAAAACTAAAAAAAAAAAAAAAAAAAGAAAAGAATGTGAGGATGAAATGAGAAGGATTAGAATAGAAATACATAAAATATAAGAAAACAATATAGAAAATCAATAAAACCAAAGAGGGGACTTTGAAAACATGATGAAGTTGACCCCAGAGCCCACACAGTCAGAGGTGGGTGTGTACATCTATAATCCTAGCTCTCCATGGAGAGATGGAGGCAGAGACAGGAGAGTTAGCCTGCTGTACATAGTGGTGAACAAGAGACCCTGCCTCAAACAAGGTAGAAGGCCATCAGACCTCCTCATGTACAGTGTGCAAGCACATGTTCATGTGCATTAAAGTACACACACACCACACAAAAAAGAAAAAAGGAACTGAATTATTAAAACCAGAACTAAAGAGGGTCTTACCACAGTCTTACAGAAGTAAAAGGATCAGAGGGTACTCTATGGAAACTGGATGCTAATCCATTAGATGACACAGATGAACAAATGATGAAGAAGGAATCGCTCCATCTGAACAAGACGAGACCAGATGTAAAGAGTAAAGAGACCGAGTCAGTGCTGACAGCAGGCCTGAGAGAAGGCTCAGCAGGAAATAGTGCTGGCTGCACAAGCCCGATGACCTGAGCAGGTGAGGTCAACAGTGCCAAGTTGTCCTCTGATCTCCACAGCCCATCACGGCACACGCACGCATGCGCACACACACACACCCATACACTCACAATAATAATAATAAATAAAATAAAAACTGAACAATAACAACACCACAAAAAGAACTGCTCATAAAAACAAGCCCAGAACCTGAGTTTGAACTTCAACACCCATGCTGGTGTTGACCCAGCTCACAACCACCTGTCACTGGAGCATCAGGAGATCGCATGGCTCCTTCTGACCTCTGTGGGCACACACATGGTATACACTCACATAGATACATAAATAAAAATCTTAAAAAGACAAGCTGAGTGCAATGGTACACTCCTCTAACCTTAGCATTCTGAAAGCAGAGGCAGACTGATCTCTTGAGTTTGAGGCCAGCCTATTCTACGCAGTGAGATTCTTTCTCAAACAGAGAACAACAACAACAAAATACAAAAAAGTCATATTAGTCCAACCTAATATGACAACCCTGATAAATTCTAACAAATGCTTAAAAACTACTTCACACCAATCCTTCATAAATTCTTCCAAAGACAAGAGGAGTATTTCAACAATAATGTCTATTTTTTTAAGCCAGGGCCTAATGCATGCTGAGTAGAAGCTCTACTACTAAACTATGCCTCCAGTGTGCCTACACCACATGCATTTTAGAGGTCAGCATTATCCTGACACCAAAACTACATAAACTCATGACAAGAACAGGAGGTCAAAGATCAACATTCCTCAGGAATATGGACACAAACTCCTCAATAGTAAACAAACAGCGAACCAAACCTAATCTAACAGCATAAACAACACACACAGAGGGTTACATATATATAATCGTGGCATATGATCTATCCCAGGAATGGTGTAGTTCAATTTGTGGTCACTGGACTTGTTTTGCTGCAGTAATGAAATACCCCAGAAACCAAGAGGAAGAAAGCGGCAGGTGTGGCACATGCCTGTTCTTCTATTGGTACAAGTTAGGGGTAAGCCTAGTTCATGTACAGTGTCCCAGACCTGCTAGTGAGACCTCATCACAAGCAAACAAACCTCACTCATTTCACATGTACTAAGGATACAAAGAAATGAGAAAAAAATTTTTGGGGGGCCAGTATGTAGAGAAACTGAAACCCTCACATTATGCTGGCAGAATGCAAAACAGAAGACTCACTGCAGCAAACAGAAGTTCCCATTCCTTAAATAGTGAGCCATCCTACAGGACACCAGGGGACCTTCACCAGAGGACCCTGCAGAACTGAAATGTACCTCCCTAAGATGTGCACACAAATGTTGGTGGGAGCTTCCACAGTAGCCCGAAAGTGGAAACAAGCCAACACCTAGAACTGAGGCATGGATGAACTGTGGTCTCTACTGATGGAGTATTACTAGGTCATAAAAATGAATGAAGAAGCCGGGCGGTGGTGGTGCACGCCTTTAATCCCAGCACTCGGGAGGCAGAGCCAGGCGGATCTCTGTGAGTTCGAGGCCAGCCTGGGCTACCAAGTGAGTTCCAGGAAAAGGCGCAAAGCTACACAGAGAAACCCTGTCTCGAAAAAACCAAAAAAAAAAAAAAAAAAAATGAATGAAGAAATGATGAGTGCTAAAACATGAAAGAATTCTTATGATATCCACTGAAAGATGTCTGAGGCCATATATTGCTGAGCATGGTGGCACATGCCTTTAAATCCCAGCACTCAGGAGACAGAGGCAGGCAGATCTCTGAGTTTGAGGCCAGCCTGGTCTTCAAAGCAAGTTCCAGGACAGCCAGGGCTGCATGGAGAGACATTGTCTCAAAAAAGAAAAACAAAACCAAAAATAAACACACATACCAAAAAAAAGGCTATATACTTAGTAGGATTCCATTTCTATGCAATGTACAGACTAGGGAAATAGGAAGTGATCAGTGGCAGTGATAGGCTTAGGGGCTTGAGGGTTCTGAGGGTGAACAGGGTCTGCTCTCGGGATGATGAAAATGTTCTAGGATTGGGCAGTGGTGACGCACAACTTAGTGAAGAATTAAAAATCATTGTTTGGTATCCTATACAGTATACTAGAAAGAGTAAGTTTTATGGTATGTGGATTTTAACTTCTCTTTTCCTTTATTTTTTATTGAGACAAGCTATATGTACACCTGGCTGTCCTGGAACTATATAATTGCTAGCCTGGCAATTATACAGATCCACCTGTCTACCTCCTGAGTGCTGGGATTAAAAGTGTGTACTAACACACCTAGCATCTTTTTTTTTTCCTTTTTGGTTCTTTGATACAAAGCCCCATTTAGCCAGGCTGGCCTTGAACTCAGTATGTAGTAGCTGAGGATGATCTTCAACTCCTTTACGCCTACCTCCCCAAGTGCTAGGATTAGTATACCTGGCCTTTTGGCTTTTGAGACTGGATCTTATTCAAGTTGTCCCCAGTGATACTCTCACTCTGTGGCCAAGGCAATTCTTGAATTTGAGACCCTCCTGCCTCAGTCTCCCAAGTAGCTAGGGTTACAAGCCTGCACTATCAGGCCTGGCTGAATAATAACTTTAGATAATATAAAGTCCTTAGTAAGAAAAAGAAAAAAAGAATGTGTTGACAATGAGGTGGAAAGGAGTCCACCTGGATGCAGGCTGGGATGTCAAGAACAAAGAAGCTGACTGCCTGCACTCAGGGGACAAGCAAGTGCAGCAGTGAGTATCCCTCTCCATCAGGCCTGCGCCAACCAACCCGACAGTCCTGCAGTCAGTGTGCTGCTGCACACGGAGCAAGTTCAGAGCTCAGGGCATCCTGTTTAACCTGATGGCTGCAGGACCCCCAGGATGTAGGCAACCGCGACTACTCTAGATTCCTGCCTCCATAAGGACGTCTGCCTTGCCCCTGGTCCTACTATATGAGGAAACTTCATATCTTTTCCAACAAAGTCACAAAGCAGGGATGAGTAGGAGTCTGAGGAAATAACTCTGGAGATGTCATGGCCCCTCACATAAAGTTTTTTTTTTTTTTTTTTTTTTTTTCAAGACAGGGTTTCTCTGTGTATCCCTGGCAGTCCTGGAACTCACTCTGTAGACCACATTGGACTCAAACTCACAGAGATCCACCTGCCTCTGCCTTCCGAGTGCTAGGATTAAAGGTGTGTGCCACCACTGCCCGACCTATGTTTGTTTGTTTAATTATGTGTTTTTATGTGTATAAGGTGTTTTGTTTGCATGTACGTCTGTGTACCCATGTGTGCCTGCTGCCAGAAAAGGACACTGGATCCCCTTAAACTGGAGTTAAGGATGGTTAATAATTCACCATGTGGATACTGGGAATTAAGCCCTGGTCCTCCAACAGAGCAGCCAGTGCTCTTAACCACTGAGCTATCTTTCCTCATACAGTTTAAGAGAAATAGCCGGGCGGTGGTGGCGCACGCCTTTAATCCCAGCACTCGGGAGGCAGAGCCAGGCGGATCTCTGTGAGTTCGAGGCCAGCCTGGACTACCAAGTGAGTTCCAGGAAAGGCGCAAAGCTACACAGAGAAACCCTGTCTCGAAAAACCAAAAAAAAAAAAAAAAAAGAGAAATACTTAGTACATGGACCAAGCCTATTTAGGTCTTTGGGAGGAACTAACAAAAATCCATGTCAGAACACAGTATAAACTGAAATTCCACAGGAGCCAGGAAGTAGATTTTGGGATATGGCAGTGCTGGAATTGAATCCCCACACGTGTGCACAGGCATAGGCAGAGCATAAGCAAATGCTCCACTAACCTGGGAAACGAAAGATCGTAAGGCTAGGAAAGGCACTCACAGAACACTAATAACAGGACCACGGCTGCAGCTCAGAATAGAGTACCTGCTTGGCATTTGTGAGGCCCTAGGTTCGGTCTTCAGTATTGCCAGGAAAAACAACAAAACTCACTGAGAACAGATATCTCCATGGCAACACTTCATGCAAATTTTACTTTCTTCTTTGTATTTTTGAATAGTGTTTAGTTTTTTTTAAAAAGATAATTTTCATTTGGTGACAAGTCTATTTTTTTTTTTTTTGTGGTTTTTAGAGACAGGGTTTCTCCGTGTTGTTTTGGTGCCTGTTCTGGATCTCACTCTGTAGACCAGGCTGGCCTCGAACTCACAGAGATCCGCCTGGCTCTGCCTCCCCAGTGCTGGGATTAAAGGCGTGCGCCACCACCGCCCGGCTTTGATTTTTATTTAACAGGGAGAAAACTTGTGCTGGCCCTGATAACCTCAAATAGCCTGTCTGGCTCTCGAGTACTGGCAGGGCACCTCTCCATGCACCCTTGGGAGGCACCCTCACAGTTTCCCGCTTACTAGGAAGCCAGTTCTGTCCAGTCAGCTTTGCTTACCTGGACAGGTGGCTCAATCATGATCCAGGCTGGAAGCATCAGACTGGGATTCAGAGGCTGGGTTCCAACACGGAAGTAAACTCCACCCTTGGAGTCACAGGCCCAGATATGCTGATTTCCACATGCTAAGCTGGTCAGTCTTACATTTCCTGCAGAGAAACAACATGTACTACAATTATTTTGTCAAAAGACTCATCTTTCACCAGGTGGCAGTGGCACACACCTTTAATCCCAGCACTCAGGAGGCAGAGCCAAGCGGATCTCTGTGTGTTCAAGGCCAGCCTGGTCTACAGAGCGAGATCCAGGACAAGCACCAAAACTATACAGAGAATCCCTGTCTTGAAAAAAAACGAAAAAAAATTTGATCTTTCAGGTGTATAAACTATTTCAGAGGAAGACAAGAGGCTACATCTGCAGTTGAATGCTGGTGTGTGTTATCTGGTTGTCCTTCCAAATTGGGTATGGCGTCTCAGAGCATCTTGTATAGGCTGTTGGCTAAGGAGCCATGATGCCATCAAGCACAGTACCCTGAGTTATCAAGCCCTGGGATAAACATCTCTATGTGAGTTCCCCCATTAACTTCATCCAGCATGTGACCATTGCTAGTAAATTCTGGATTCGTGGAAAGGGGACTCATAGTTACTAGAATTAAGAATAAATTTCCTGGAGGAGTTAGTGAAAACAAGGAGATTAAGAGCTTGGAACAGGGACGCTTTTAATCCCAGCACCCGGGGAAGGAGCCATCTCCGTGGGACACGACCAGAATGAATCTGAACACTCTGTCTGAGGCCAACCTAGGGCCCAGCTGCTAATCCTGCGAAACCCAACAATTTGGAGGTGTTGGTGAGATTACCCTACTAAACAACCTGCTCAGCTGAGATCCATTCGGGAGAGGATTCAGAATCCTACAGTCCGAAGTCTGAGGAAATAAGATCAGCTGAGGAGAAGACAAACGAGCAAAACGTGACCTGAGAACACAAAAGAAGGTGTTGCCCAGCCACCAAACCAGATCACCAGAATCATAAGCCTACCCTACACCAACTGGGAACAGGTAAGCCCCCATCTCCAGACCGGCATATCAGGTCTCTAGCCCCTAGGCCCTACCCATCGGATTCCCAGGGACCAGACAGCTACCTCTTCCTGCTCCCCCACCAAAAAAAACCAAAAACCAAAACCAAAACAAAACAAAACAAAACCCCCCCCAAAACCCACCAACCCCTACGAACCTAACAACCACTGGAGCCATAAGCACACCCTGCACCCACTGGGAACAACTGCTCCCTGAGACAGAACCCACTAACACTGACTGGACTAAGCTGCTCCCGGAGAAACAGAGCCCAACAGCACCGATTTAACCAAGAACTCCTAGTGGACCAAGACTAAAAATTAGAACAAGAGAGGCACCTTCAGACACAGACACCGCCTACACTGAGCAGAGGAAGAGATGAGTAGACGCCAGTGCAAAAATACAGGCAACAACATAAAGACCTATATGACACCATCAGAACCTAGTGATTCTACACCCGCAAGAACCTTCTACCAAGGCAGAAGAAACAGAAGAAATCAATCCCAAGAATGACTTTACGAAGATGATAGAGACCCTTAAAGAGGAAATGAAAAACTCCATTAAAGAGGAAATAAAAAATTCCCTTAAAGAAATGGAAGAAAAAACAAACAAAAAATTGGAAGAAATCAAACAAAGCCAAGAAAAAGTAATTAAACAGATGAAGGAAACAATTCAAGATTTGAAAATTGAAATTGAGACAATAAAGAAAACACAAACTGAGGGAATGCTGGAAACAGAAATCCTGACTAAATGAACAGGAACTACAGAAGCAAGCATAACCCATCGAATGCAAGAGATGAAACAGAGAATCTCTGACACTGAAGACACAATAGAGAAAATAGATTCGTCAGTCAAAGAAAACACTAAAGACAAAAAAGTCGTAGTACAAAATGTCCAAGAAATTTGGGACACCATGAAAACACCAAACCTAAGAATAATAGGGATAGAAGAAGGAGAAGAATACCAACTCAAAGGCACAGAAAATATATTCAACAAAATCATAGAAGAAAACTTTCCTAACCTAAAGAAAGAAATACCTATGAAGATACAAGAAGCTTACAGAACACCAAATAGGCTGGATCACTATTAGGATAAGAATTTATACTGTATCAAGCTGATAATAAATAAATAAATAAAAATGGGAAAAACAAACAAACAAAAGAATAAATTTCCTAAAGATCCTTTACTTTATTTATTGATTTTGGATTTTTGAGACAAGGTTTCTCTATGTAGCCTTGGCTATCCTGGTACTCGCTTTGTAGACCAGGATGGCCTTGAACTCAGAGATCCACCTGCCTCTGTCTCCTGGGTGCTGGGATTACAGGCTTGAGCCACCACACCTGGCTCTTCATTTTTATTTTTGCACTTTCTCTTTGCTAATTAAACTAGCTGCTAGCCATAAGAGGGAATGAAATGGAAGGAGTTAAAAAGAAAAGAGACTGAGCTGGAAGGGAGTGGCTTAACAGCAAAGTGTTTGACAACGCACCTCAAGAAAACAACGTAAGTTACATTTGATATAGTCTAACAATTAAAAAGAGCACCTCAAGAAAACAACGTAAGTTACATTTGACATAGTCTAGCAATTAAAAAGAGCAGTTGTCAAGTTGCTTAATGTCTACTACAAGATGGGCTCTCAGCCAGTCTCTCACAGCCTCATTTCCAATCTTACAGCAACGACAGACACATGGTTTGCACTGGAGGAATTAGGAAATTGGTCCTGGAACAAAGGACAGAAGGTGGCTGACCCAGGAAGCAAAGAGGGACAGCAGGTTTGAACCCAGGCCAGCTACCTCTGACCTCCAAGTCTATAAACAACAAATGTACAGATAGATGTTCAGGTTCAAGTCCAGATTTGACAAATTATTCTACCAGCACAACCCACACCTCATCAAAATATAGAACATTCTGTCTCCCTAAGAATTTTCTCAGGTCCCTCCCTGCCCATGGCCTCTGCTTGAGGCCAGGTTCTCATGCATCCCAAGCTGCTCTCAAATTTGCAATGTAGGCAAGGATGACTCCTGAACTGACTTCTATCACCAGAGATTAGTTCAGTCTTCTAGGGTTCACACAGGCAGAACCAAAGTCCACATGCTACACAGGAAGCAGCCTCAGGCAGCAGTTGCTAAGTATCATTGCACTGCACACAAACGCCACAGTTTGTTTCTGTATTTACCTACAGGTGGACATTTGAGTCGTTTCCGTGTTTTGCTATTCCAGCCAAACTGCTCCAGTCATTCTTGTCTAAGTTTTGTTGTCTTGTGGCAAGCCAGGCCTGACAGTGCACACCTATAATCTCAGTCTCGAGAGCTGGAGGAGTGGAATTGTTTAAAGCTAGCTGGACTGCAGTGAGGCCAGGTCTCAAAAGGAGAGTGAGGGGAGCAGAAACATGTATTACTTTTCTTTTATTTCAAAGATTTTAAAATTATTTTTATGGGTGTGTTTTGCCTGTATGCATGTAAGCACACACTGTGTGTGCAGTGCCTGAAGAGGGTAGAAGGAGGTGAATCCCCTGTAAGTGGTGACAGGTGTTGGGAGTCACCATGCAAGTGTTGGGAGCTGAACCCAGGTCCTCTGGACAAGCAGCCAGTGCTCTTAGCTACCTCTCCAGCCCCTGGTTGTTTTTTTTCTTCCATATAGTAGAACTCTCTGGACATAGGTTAAATATCTTACTTTAAATTTTTTTAGATTTTTTTCTTTTTTCTTTTCTTTTCTTTTTTGGAGCTGAGGACCGAACCCAGGGCCTCTACCACTGAGCTAAATCCCCAACCCCACTTTTTTAGTTTTTTTTTTTTTTTTTTTTTGGTTTTTTGAGACAGGGTTTCTCTGTGTAGCTTTGCGCCTCTCCTGGAACTCACTTGGTAGCCCAGGCTGGCCTCGAACTCACAGAGATCCGCCTGGCTCTGCCTCCCGAGTGCTGGGATTAAAGGCGTGCGCCACCACCGCCGGCCTTAGATTTTTTTTAAAAAGTTTTTATTAGATTTTTTTTATTGTATTTTAAATAGAGAGAGAGAGAGAGAGACAGACAGACAGACAGACAGACACACACACACATACACACACAGAGGCTGTGTGTGATTGTGTGAGTGTACGTGCTGGCGGAAACCAGAGGCATCAGATCCCTGGAGCTGGAGTTAGAAGTGCCTGTGAGCCAGCCCCCTGACACAGGTACTAAAACCTGAAGTTGGGTCTTCACAAGAGCAGCAAGCTCTCAGACCCCAGTCGTCTCCCCAGCCCCTCCATTCCCGTGTGTGTATGCGTGTAAGTCATAAGTCAGAGGACAACTTGTAAGAGACAACTTTCCCTTCACCATGTGGTTCCAGGGATGGGATCAGGTCATCAGGATTGGCAGTCTCACTTTGAAAGGGAATGCCAGTTTCTCCAAGTTGTACCATTTTACATACCTACTAGCAGAGTTATGTGAAATGTGGTTGCTTACATCCTTATTAACACTTAGGTTTTTGTTTGTTTGTTTTAAGACAATGTCTCACGAAAAGCCAGGTGGTGGTGTCGCATGCTCTTAATCCCAGCATTCTGGAGGCAGAGGCAGGCAGATCTTTGTGAGTTCGAGGCCAGCCTCGAAAACAGAGTGAATTCCAGGACAGCCAGGGCTGTTACACAGAGAAAGCCTGTCTGAGAAGAAAGAAAAAGGCAGTGCCGCTTCATGTACCCCACAGGCTAGCCTCCACTTGCTCTGTAGCCAAGGTTGTGCAGCTGTGAGCAGAGCACCCAGAACAGTGCTGCAGCTCCAATGTGCTCCTCGGGAACTTCTGAAGCTGCTGATGTCTGGGGCTCGTGACTGAGGGGGCGCCCACCCCGACAACCTCCATTTGATTTGCTTCATCAAGGAGAACATCTTTTAGTTACTTTTTTCACAAAAAGACACTTTTTTTTTTTGAGACGTTTTCTCTGTGTAGTTTTGGAGCCTGTCCTGGATCTCACTCTGTAGACCAGGCTGGCCTCAAACTCACAGAGATCCGCCTGCCTCTGCCTCCTGAGTGCTGGGATTAAAGGTATGTGCCACCACCGCCCGGTTGACACTTTCTTCTTAAAATTGCTTTTTAAAAAGTGTGTGTGTGTGTGTGTGTGTGTGTGTGTGTGTGTCCCTCTTTTGAGGTATGTGGTACAGAATAATAGTAGCATTTGCTTGTTGTTTTCTATGTTATAAAATACTTCTCCACGCCGGGCGGTGGTGGCGCACGCCTTTAATCCCAGCACTCGGGAGGCAGAGCCAGGTGGATCTCTGTGAGTTCGAGGCCAGTCTGGACTACCGAGTGAGTTCCAGGAGAGGCGCAAAGCTACACAGAGAAACCCTGTCTCGAAAAACCAAAAAAAAAAAAAAAAAAAAAAAAACTTCTCCACATAAATTATTGCATGATATAATAGTATTTGTTACCCAAAGGCACAACTGACACTGAATCTGTTTTCAATGCATTCTGCGAACAGATGAATTAAACTGCAAATTGTATTAGTTTGCTGAATGGTCTAGTGCCTGACATGTATATTTATGAATAATGGGAAATGAAATGTTATGAGCATCTTAAATGTTTGCTAAATGATGCACGTTTTCTTCCCCAAATCAGGATTATAATAAATCACTGTAAAATTCCATATTCCATCTCTTTAACTAGGTTCAATAGACAGCCATTTAAAAGTCTCTTAATTTAATCCTTTTCCTGGCTGCTGTGGCTGTTTAGACATCAGTGTAGTCTGGGCTGGCCTTGAACTGGCAATACTAGTGCCTCAGGAATTGCAGATGCAGCTACTGTTTTGGCAATCACATAGTTTGTAAGGGTGAAAAGGAGAAGGATGTGATGGTTTTAGGCTGATGATACTCACCTAAGCTCACAATCTGCACTCCTTTTATGAGTGGGTACACATGTGCAGAAGTCAAAGGACAACCAGCAGGAGATGGTTATCTCTTTCAAACTCAGGGCCTCAGGTGTGGTGTCAAGAACCTTTACCTTCTGAGCCTTCTTGTCAGCCTTAACTATTTAAAAATATTTCTTGGGCCTGGAGAGATGGTTCAGTGATTAAAAGCACTGGCTGTTCTTCCACAGGCTCAATTCCCAGTACCCATAACCATCTGTAATTCTTTATAAAGAAATAAAATCGCTGGGCGGTGGTTGCGCACGCCTGTAATCCCAGCACTTGGGAGGCAGAGGCAGGTGGATCTCTGTGAGTTCGAGGCCAGCCCGGTCTACAGAGCTAGTCCAAGACAGGCTCCAAAGCTACAGAGAAACCCTGTCTGGAAAAACAAAAACAAACAAACAAACAAAAAAGAAATAAAATCCTAATCTCTCTCTTACTCTGTTTTGAGACATGGTCTCACTGTGTAGCCTTGGCTTGCCTAGAATTCTCTATGTGTGCTGGGATTAATGGCATGGGCCACTATGCCTGGCTTAAATTATCTCTTGACCCTACTGGATACACAGGCCATACCTGGAGAGAATGCAGTACAGGACAGCCTAGTGCCTCTAGCTGCAGTTCAGTGTCCTGAATGGCACAAGTGAAGGCTTCTGGCATAATGGCCAACCCCCTTCCCAATAAGCCCTGTAATCCCCTTGCCCCAACACCAAACCTACCAGCTAGACTGAAGCCATCATTTCAGGATGCTAAGAAAATGCTGCTAAGAGTCTATTACTTTTATATATTTATACTTTATGTATGCTGCATATATATATATATCAGTCATATAACACAGCAAATGAAAGCACAGAGCTGGATACAGACTGAAGAGAGGCAGGGTTTCAGTACACAATATGGTAGTGCAAGTCAAGTGGTTCAAATGCATGCTCGACTAGCCCAAAGGCCAGTGCTACAACCAAAGGCTCAGGAGTCTTCCACAACAGGATGAGAGACATCTCACCTTTAGACAGGAGATTTGCTGGGGTCATTTGGGATGTGGTGACAACTGGTGGGATGACCACATAGAGGGACTGATTTGGGGAAAATGGCTCCATTTCCAGCTGAATGAACATAGACTTCCCTAGCCCTCAAGGTTTGGTAGTGAGGAGAATATACACTAAAGCCTGGCTTTTCTCAGAGATACCAGCAGCCTCTCTCCATGGTCTGGTGGAGATTGCTGGAGAAAGGCTCAGGGCCAGTGAGTCTCTGGGCAGATGAAAGAACTCCTAGGCCAGGCAACAGGCTCAGTTGGCACCCATGCCCAGGCCACAACTAGCTGCAGTCTTGTCTGGCTAACAAATGCCCTTGGAAAGCTAGATGAGTGGTAGATATGGAAGACAGGGTCTGAAGCCCAAGGCATAAATAATCTCAATTCCTGTGGAAGTTCCTAGCTGTGCCGCACAGCAAGTTTTCACAGCAGACTGGGTTATGCTCTGGGCCTTATCTCTTCTAGCAGTTTGTAGAAACCCCGTTGCTAAGAGGCACTGGCCCGGCCCAGGCCCATTAGGGCAAAGCATACTTTATAGAGGTGGTGGTATGTATAGGTCAATGTAGGAGGCAGTCCTTCCTTCTCTCTTCCCCCACCCCTTTCTCATGTAGTTGAGTTATTATACATTAAACACTTATTCACATTCACAAAATACTGGTTGCCAGTGTGTAACAATGTCTAGTTCAAGCTCACTCTGGCCCTGGGAACTGCCTGGTACAGTCTCTGCCTCCAGTATCAGACAAAGCACACTTGAGTTGCTGAGTCAACTGGGAATATAATATTGTGAGCTCATTTTGTCATCTCTTAGACTATGACATATTTCCACATGTCACCATAGGCTAGGCCTACTATAACTCTTGGGACAGTTCACAGAGAAGTAGCTACTAACAGCATAGTACATCTTTAACCAGCTGAAAGAAAACCCATACCACACAACTGTGTGTGCAGCAGCCCATGATGGGCATTCTTCCAGATGCCAAGACATAGATCAGTGTGCACTGATCCACTCACAGGACACAAGTGCCATCTTAGATTTAAAGATCAGAGAGAGAACAGGGCAGCTGTCCTAGTGCCATAATCTTAAGCAGATCTTAGTGGCACCTTCTGGACACCTCACAGTTCCTGTGGTTCTGAGCAGTGCAAACTGCAAGGAGAGAGGTGAATCTCTCTCCAAATTTAAGAGGCTCATTTAACCTGGATAAGTGGCCATTGAGCTATAAACCCAGCAACTGACAATTGTCACCGAAGAACCCACTTTCCATACTGAGGGAAGCACTCACACACTGGCCATACCTAGCTGGGAAAGGTCCAGTTTCGTCCAGTGCATGCCTGTGGGGCAGCTCTTAGAAAGCGTCCTGATGAACACCTGCCCGAGGTTGTCCAAGGCCCACAATGCATCCTGGCAGGCAGCGTAGGTCCTCATCTCGGCGTCGGGAGGCAACTGCACTGTGGAGGGGCGGCACTGCACACTCTGGGCACTGATGCTGCACAGGTCCTTGCTGCTCTGGCACAGCCACAGTGAGCTTCCTACAGAGAAGGTTCACATTTGTCATCACACTCTATCTCACTGAGCCTCCGCCCTAAGTGCACAGCACAGCCTTTCCTCTCCTGGTGACACTGCCTGCACACTCACCATGAGCTCACAGGCTGCAGTAGCTGTGTTATACCTTGAGGCCAGAAGGAATGCCACCACCAGACATCAGAGAGATCAAGCCTGAGACATTTTAAAGAACTGGAAAGAAAGCAGGGCCTATGAAACATTATGAAGGCGAGATGGCTGGGGTAGTGGCCTAGGAATATGAATGAAGGAATACTCAGAGTGTATTTTTAATACAGAGTATTAGGGTTGTCAACCTTGCCAATAGCCAGGAAGGAGAGGGGCCAGCAGTCCCTGGGAAGGTGCTTCCCTAGTTCCTCTGCTAATGGGGTGTGCAGTGGGCTGCTCTTCAATAAGGCAGAAATCCTTCTCCTACCTTGGCCTTAAGAGTTATGCTTGCAGTGCTCTGTTCAGAACTTTCAGGTTAACAGTGTCTGTTTGAAATGCCAATCATCCTTGGGGATTGAAATCCTGGCTACACTGTGTAATGCAAAGTATTATCTAACACTGTGGCCAGATGTTTTGGAATTCTTTTTCTTTGAGCTTTTTTTTTTTTTTTAAGATTTGTTTCTTTTCATTTTATGTATGTGAATGTTTTATCTGCATGTATACATGCATCATGTGTGTACCTGGTACCCATGCCATGGAGGGCAGAAGGTATTACAGGTATCTCTTGGAACTGGAATTTGAGACAGTTGTGAGCTGCCATAAGGGCGCTGGGATTCAAACCCATGTCCTCTGGAAAAGTATACAGTGCTCTTAACCATGGAGCCATCTCTCCAAGCCCCCTCCCCCCTTTTTTTTAAATTTAAGAACTTTGGCTGGTAGTGGCAGTGCAGGCCTTTAGTCCCAGCACTCGGGAGGTGGAGGCAGGTGGATCTCTGAGTTCTGAGTTCCAGGCCAGCCTGGTCTACACAGCAAGTTCCAGGACAGCCAGGGCTACATGGTGAGACCCTGTCTTGAAACGCAACAAACAAACAAACAAAGATCTTGATAAAATAGTCAAAGAGTCAGTCAGAAGTGCCAGGAACTCCCCAGGGAAGTAGTGCATGTGCATGCCACAGCATGCTATTAGTGAAGGCTGCAGGCCACCTCCCTCCAGCTAGGGTCAGGTGCTGCTACCAAAAGCAGCTGGGTCAGCCTCAGGAAACAACTTACCATCTTATGAGACTCCAGGTAGGACTGTGATCAGTATAGTGCAGTGGGTAAGTGTTTACTATAGTGAAGCAAGTTATTCAGTGCTGGGGCAACTGATGGCTTCAGTGGATCAAACTGTTTCCTCTTCATCATAGGTATCACGGCACTTTCTCATTTCTCACCTTCCACAAAAGCCCTGGAAGAGGTTCTGGCTCCTTCCCAAACAGGCCACCTGCCTGCCTACGGTCCCCAGCTAACTGGGTGGCTCTGCAGCAGGAGCCCCACCTCTGCAGGGATAAGACAAGCCTGAGGTATGAGACCTTCACAGGGTAAAGGGGAGCCAGCAGCAAGAAGCATGGGAGAAGGAAGCTGCTTGGAGGTGACAGAATTCTCCAGAAGAAATGAAAAAGAAACTTGGGAAGTTATGGCCATGCAAACTGACAGTGAGAGTCATCTGCTGCCAGCTCCTAGGATCGCACTGCATGGGACCTCCTTCCAAAGGACACCATCTCAGATTCAGCCTTACCACCCTTGCTCCCCCTCAGTGGCTCCCCTGAACACACCTATCCACTAAAAGCCCTCAGTTTAGCTCACAGGGCTGCTAGCGCAGAACATGGTCATATCTCAAGGTCTATGAGGCCACATCTCCACAGCCACAGGGCCACAGTCAGATGACGGTCTGGACTTTTCAGCTGCTGACAGACTTGTCCACCAGGTTTCTCAGACAGGCTAAGACTGACTCACCATCCTGGGTAGGGGCAGGAGAAGCCAACACGAAGGCCCATTTTGTAGCTGAAGCTGTTCCTCGGGGAACAACGTTATTCCAGTAAGTTCCTAGAGAGAATAAATATAAAAGTGGGTTAAGGTAAGGAAAAAAAAAACAAACAAACCTGTAACACTTCAGTTCTGGTTCTAGACTATAGCTGGGCCTTCAGAGCTCTTACAGTGATATTTAGTGTTCTTAAACAAAGTGACATGAGCTACTCATTTCTCTAAGCATCATCAAGAGGAGCCATACCTTGTTCATTGAAGCCCAAGGAGGCTACACAGGGGGCAGGGCCAGAGGAAACTCATCAAGGGGAGTCATTCAGAAGTGAACACCCACTCATCCACAGACACGGCCAGTATTTTGCATGTTTAACAGTGGCCATAATTTCCCCACCATAAATGGACTATTCTCTCTCAATAGACTCTAGGTTTGGTGGACTTTTAAAAAATATTTGGGCTGGAGAGATGGCCCAGAGGTTAAGAGCACTGGCTGTTCTTCCAGAGGTCCTGAGTTCAATTCCCAGCAACCACATGGTGGCTCACAACCATTTATAATGAGATCTGGTGCCCTCTCTTACGGCATGCAGGCATACATGCAGGCAAAACACTGTATACATAATAAATAAATAAATCTTAAAAATATTTACTTATTGTATATGTGTCTGTGTGTACATACATATGATAGTGTGAGGTGTTGCCTAAGCATGCTCATGAAGTCCAGAAGAGGACATTGGGTGTCCTCACCTATCATTATCCACATATTACTTTGAAACAGGATCTCTCCCTGATCCTAGGGATCAAGTTCTCTCTGCCGCTTAGAAGTCAGCAAGCCCCAAAGATTTTCCTCCCTCCGCTCACCTTGTTGCTGGGTTACAGGCATTCTTGGGATATCTGATTTGTTGCAGGAGTGCTGGGATTTGAACTCCTGCCCTCATATTCTTAACTGTTAAGCCATCTCTACCCAACCACATACCCCTTTTTAAAAAAATTCTGTGTCCACAAGTGTGTCATGGCATGTGTGTGGAGATCAGAGTTGGTTTTCTCCTTTCACCTTGTTTTGGGGGCAGGGTCTCTCTTGTTTCTGTCACTGGGCTGTGTATGTGAACTCCTGGTCGCCTCTGTCCCTGCTTGCCCCCATTTCCTCAAAGGAGTGCTGACACAAGCCACCACTGTGTCTGGCTTTGCTATTGTTGTTCTTTGTTTTTTTGAGACAGGATTTTCTCTACATAGCTCTGGCTGTCCTAGAACTCACTCTATAGACCAGGCTGGCCTTGAACTCACAGCTCTGCCTGCCGCTGCCTCCTGAGTGCTGGGATTAAGGGCATGTGCCGTATCTGGCTTTCTACATGACGTCTGGAGATCGACCACAGGTCTACAGGTTTGTGCTTTTACCCGCAGAGCCATTCACTGCCCACCCGTGTGGGTTTTGCAGTTTCAAGCACAAAGCTGAGCTGCAGCCAGGTGTGATGCCTGCAATCCCGGCACTAGGGAGGTAGAAACAGAGGGTTAGGAGTTCAAGGATATTTCCTGCAGCTTGGGCTATATGAGACTCTGACTCAAACAAAAACGACCACAAAAAATGAGCTCTATTTGTCTGCACATATGTCTGGGTACCACTTGAGTGTCTGGTCCCCACACCAGTGGCCACTTGGAGCCCCTGAATCAGAGTTACAGACATCTGTGAGCTGCCATGTAGTGCTGGGAACAGAGCCAGGCAGGGGTCCTCTGCAAGAGCTGCCAGTGCTCTTAACCACTGAGCTGTCTGTCTATCCCTCCATTGCTTTTTATTATCATATGCTAGGTTCCCACAGGAAAGTGATTTCACACTGTTAGACACCAAGTTTGAGGAATGACAGAATGAAAAAGAAAACACAAAGCCTGGAGTGTTTCCATCACAGGCAGTTCTTTCTACTGTATTACCTTAAAATCTTTCACTAAATACTCAGAGAGCTGGGCGTGGTGGTACACACCTTTAATCCCAGGAGAATCGCTGTGAGTTCAAGGTCAGCCTGGCTACAGAGTGAGTTCCAGGACAGCCAGGGCTGTTACACAGAGAAAGCCTGCCTTGGAAAAAAACTAATGAATAAATAAAGTGAAAACAAGAGTAACGGACTCACCTATGAGACTTCCTTTGGCAACATGGAATTCATTCTTGCCTGAGGAGATCCAGACGCCACTGTTGTTAACCCCTAGCAGGCTGGGCTGGCACTGAAGCTGCTGAGACCAGAATGCCATGCGCAGTTTATCTGCTACCTTCTCCACAGGGGCTTGAGCTGCTGTCGCTACTGAGTGTGTGGCATGCATGATGGTCTGGAACAAGCTGCACTGGTCGAACACCACATAGTCCGTGATGCTCACCTGTAGGAAGGACACAGCTGAGCCTTGCTGTCAGTGCAGGCTCTAAGACCACCTGCCTGCAAAGGCAACTTTCAACACCCACATCCAAGTACCCAGCAGCAAGGCCACCAAGTGCCCAAGTACCTGCACACACCTCTCTGCACAAGGACTGGAGTTACTATGCAGCTGTCATTAAATCCACAGGCTGGGCTTAAGGGGAAGGAAGAAAGTGTGGTCACCTTATCTTACTTTTTTATTACACATGGGTCTGTTTATGTATTATTTTTGTGATTAAATAGCACCCACCTCACCTAAGAAATCTTTTATTCTAGTCAGAGTGATAAAGAATAATTTCACTTTAAAATTCAGGTGCTTGTGAGTTTGAGGCCAGCCTGGTCTACAGAGCGAGATTCAGGACAGGCACCAAAACTACACAGATAAACCCTGTCTTGAAAAACAAATAAACAAAAAAATAAATAATAATAATAGTTAATTTAATTAAATGAAATAAAATTCAGGTGCTTCCAATAGACAATAACGTATAATACTTATCATAATATGAGCATTAAAAAATATGAGTTGGGTGATGCAATTACTAAAGCTGTAATTGTGAATATTACCAATTTTTTTTTTTTTTTTTTTTTTTTTGGTTTTTCGAGACAGGGTTTCTCTGTGTAGCTTTGCGCCTTTCCTGGAACTCACTTGGTAGTCCAGGCTGGCCTCGAACTCACAGAGATCCGCCTGTCTCTGCCTCCCGAGTGCTGGGATTAAAGGCGTGCGCCACCACCGCCCGGCTTATTACCAATTTTATCAGACAATCAGCTTAAGCAAGATGATCCCAAGAAGCTATCTGGCACTGATGTATGACCCTCAGCAACATTCCTGAAAAGCGTCTGTCACAGACATCTCTAGAGACATTTTGGGACAACTATCTCCCTGAAGGAAACTTCTCCCTTGCTGGCAGCCAATTGTGACAGAGTTCTTTTTAAATTTTTTTAAATTTCTACTTATATTTTACGTGTCTGAGTGTTTTGCCTGATGTATGTGTGTATACTAGTGTGGTACCCACAGAGAGAAGAGGTACCCACAAACAGAAGAGGGCACACAAACCTCTGGACCTGGAGTTACAGATGTGTGTAAACTGCCATGTGGGTGCTGGGAACTGAACCTGGGCCCTCTGCATGAGCAGCCAGTGCTCTTAATCTCTGAACCTTCTCTCCAGCCCTGTGCCAGAGTTGTTTATGAAGCAGGAGGAAACCTGGCTCAGCAGAACTCTATGCAGTATTTTATAATTGCATTCCATTTATTTCTATTTATGTATGTTTTATGTACGTGTGTGGGCATGCAAGAGAGAGCATACATGTAGAAGGACAGCTTTTAGAGTCACTTCTCTCCTTCTACCTTGTGGATCCTAGGGACTGAACGAGGTTATCAGGCTTAACAGGCACTTTAACAGGCTGGGCAATCTCGCCATCTTCTCTCTAGGATTTTTGCCTGTTGGATTTATTTATTACAGACCTTGGCACAAACACCCTATTCCTAGGACACATTCCCAGTTCACACAACGCAATATTAAGTGAAAGTATTACAGAGAGCTTAAACTTATAAAAAACAAAACAAACATGAAAGAAATCACTAGAAGTTAGTATATCACACGTAAATGCTGCCCTTCTGTCTGTGAAAAGGGGATAGTTGTGAGCACTGTCCTCACTGAAGCTGGTATACATAGCCCCCACCATAGGGCCTGTGGTCACATGCAGCATTCTGAGCTCGGTCCAGCCTGGCTTCATGACTCGCTGAGTGCTGAAGAATGAGCTCCACTCAGAGACTCAAAGTGTATTTGCTATGCAACGCAGGGCCAGTGCTGCTCACTGGAGACCTGGCAGTGACTATGTCAAAGCCACACACCAAGTCTGTGATACCCAAGACAGACAGACACATACATAAGCAGGTCTTCAACTAAAGAGAAAGGAAAGACCTAGCAGCGAAACATCAGAGCCAGAGAAAGCACAGGACTACTTCACTCTGCATCTATGCCTCTTGACAGTTTTGTCAGCTAAAGTTCTGTGTGTTATGAAAAAAAGACAGAATTTTCTTTGTGTTACGTAAAAACGGATTTTAGGGGCAGAGGGGATGCAGCACAATGGTAGCGCATGGCCCGGGTTTAGCCATAGCACCTCAACATGCAAAGCCAACAGAACAAAGGTTCAGTGGATAAAGTGCTGAGCTCGTAAGTGTGAGGACTGGAGTCTGGATCCCCAGCACCCATGTGAAATACTGGCAGGCAGAGTGGCCTGCTTGCAATCTCAGTGCTTGAAAAGCAGAGGCCAGGTCCCTGGTTCAAGCTAGCTAGCTAGACTAGCCAAGTCTGTGAGTTTCAGGTTCAGCAAGAGGCCCTACCTCAGTAGATAAAGTGGATAGCAGTCAAGTAGGAGCCTCAACATCAACTCTGGCTGCTACACGCATACACACACACAGGCACATATACACCCATGCCCCACATATGCATATACCCATGTATGCACTTTATACACATACACATGTAAAAATTCCCTCTGGAATTTAGCACATACAGATATGTACATAGGTCTATGTGCTATATACATGTGCATGTTCACATATGAATTTAAGTATATGGTAGGGATTTTTTTTTTTTTTTTTTTTTTTTTTTAGGTTTTTCGAGACAGGGTTTCTCTGTGTAGCTTTGCGCCTTTCCTGGAACTCACTCTGTAGCCCAGGCTGGCCTTGAACTCGCAGAGATCCACCTGCCTCTGCCTCCCGAGTGCTGGGATTAAAGGCGTGCGCCACCACCGCCCGGCATGGTAGGGATTTTTAAATCATATATAATCTTCTCAAATATTACCTAGAAGAGACCCTTAAAGAGGAAATGAAAAACTCCATTAAAGAGAAAATAAAAAATTCCCTTAAAGAAATGGAAGAAAAAACAAACAAAAAATTGGAAGAAATCAAACAAAGCCAAGAAAAAGTAATTAAACAGATGAAGGAAACAATTCAAGATTTGAAAATTGAAATTGAGACAATAAAGAAAACACAAACTGAGGGAATGCTGGAAACAGAAATCCTGACTAAATGAACAGGAACTACAGAAGCAAGCATAACCCATCGAATGCAAGAGATGGAACAGAGAATCTCTGACACTGAAGACACAATAGAGAAAATAGATTCGTCAGTCAAAGAAAACACTAAAGACAAAAAAGTCGTAGTACAAAATGTCCAAGAAATTTGGGACACCATGAAAACACCAAACCTAAGAATAATAGGGATAGAAGAAGGAGAAGAATACCAACTCAAATATTCCCTAGAATATCAAATTATAGACATAGAGGTGAGGCATCACACTGCACATCTGTCAGAGCAACCTCAGGCCCAATGTGGAGGGTAAAGAGCTTAGCCCTGCGTGGTACCAAGAGGGGAAAGTGGATGTTCTTTGCAAACTCCACCCAAGGTTGGGCTGGAACCATGGAAAGTTGGCTTGATTCCACCCCCTGCTTCTCCCAGTACTCTCTCCTCTCTGGGAGCATGTGGGAAAATGCTCAGTTCTTTGTTGAAGTATCACTTACTTAAAGGCCTTTCAAGCAAGTAGAGATAGATGAGTTTTAATTGTGGGTTGGGTTTTCAAACCTACTCTTTAGTCTCTTTTCTTAGCACATTTGTTCAGAATTAAACATCATTATTATCCAGGTCTTTCTTTAAATGGATGTCACTGGATTTATTTAGTCTATAATGATGAATGCTTAAATAACATTTAAATAAATAAACAAATTCCAGCCTGTATTAAAGCAAAATACACTTTACAAGTTATTTCCTATGAAGGAAAGTTTTTTTCTGTATGTTTTTAGTATACTCAGCCACAGGAAAGTCTAATCTACCAAACGTTAAAAGCAATACTACTAGTTTAATACAGTTTCTTAAGGAAACGAGAGAAGGCAGGAAGGGTGGGTCTCCAAGCCAGAAAGCCCTATCACCTACCTGCCACCAATGGTCATCATCTCCTTGGGGCTTCTTGGGAATCACACCAGTTCTGAACCACAGCTTCCCATGAATGTCCAGGGCCCAGAGTGTGTGCTGATCTCCGAGAGTTATGCAGACAGGCTCCAGAGTTTGCCTTTCACTGAAAGTGAGAGAAAACAGCCTCAGCTCCCACCCAGAAACCTCAAGGAGTGTCTCTGAACAGGCTTGGCATTGAGAAGCAATGGACTCTGTTCACAGGAGCGGATTACTGAGTAACAAGGAAGGTGCCCAGAGTCTAACTTACACTGCTGGGCAATGCACACTGTCCAGACATGTGGCTGCTTTGGAAAGACATACTGAAGGCCCAGATGGTGGGGAAATCTAGAAAAAACAAAGGTGAGCAGGCACCTCGGCCAAGAGCACTTCCCTCTCCTCTTCCCTCTTTCCCTGCAGGCCAGGCTGTGGCGCACAGCTGACTCTGGGCAGACACTGTCTTCTCTGGTGAGTCAACCTTCGCTTCTTCCATCTGGGCACATCCTTGACAGCTTTCAGGCTCAGCTGAGGCTAGCCCTGGCATGCTGCCTGCCCATGCACTGCAGGCAGGCAACAGTTCCTCACGGCTATGTGCTCTCCTTGCTTAGTATCTTCACACCAACTGGCACCAAACCGGCTGCTGCCTGGCTCCCCATGAAGTCGGGAGGGTCACGACTTGGCTATCTTGGAACACCCAGGCCCCAGAGAGTCCTATAGACTCCTGTGGCTCCCAGCAGGGGTTCTATAGATTTACTGGCTAGCTGAACCCAACCAACACCATCTTGATCTGGCATACATAAAGACCAATTTTTGTTTTGTTTGGGTTGGTTTTTTGTTTTTCGAGACAGGGTTTCTCTGCGTAGCTCTGGCTGTCCTGGAACTCACTCTGCAGACCAAGCTAGTCCTGAACCCAGAGATCTGCCTGCCTCTGCATCCCAAGTGCTAGGATTAAAGGTGTAGACCACCACCACCCAGTTCAAATCTTCCACCCCCCACCCCCCAGACAGGTTTTCTCTGTGTAATTTTGGTTCCTGTCCTGGATCTCGGCTCTGTAGACCAGGCTGGCCTTGAACTCAGAGATCTGCCTGCCTCTGCCTCCCGAGTGCTGGGATTAAAGGCATGTGCCACCACCGCCTGGCCTCCAGCCCAAATCTTAAATGGTAGAAAGTAAAATAAATTATAGTCCAGAACTAATTTCAACTGACTAGGATAAAAATACAAATAAACGTGTAGCCGGGCGGTGGTGGCGCACGCCTTTAATCCCAGCACTCGGGAGGCAGAGCCAGGCGGATCTCTGTGAGTTCGAGGCCAGCCTGGGCTACCAAGCGAGTCCCAGGAAAGGCGCAAAGCTACACAGAGAAACCCTGTCTCGAAAAACCAAAAAAAAAAAAAAATAAATAAATAAATAAATAAAAAATAAAAACAAATAAACGTGTAGCTACACCATCACAGACTCTCAACAGAAGCATGTGACAGCAGGTAGCTCTGAATGGAGACCATGAGAACTGGTGACTCTGATGCTCAGGGACACACTTATTTTTTGTTTTCATTTTTATTATTATTATTTTTTGAGATGTATATACAGGGCTGAAGGTGACCTGAACTCTGGTTTTCTTGCCTCTATCTCCTAAGTGATGAGACTACAGGTATGTGCCACTCAGTCCAGTTTATGTAGTACTGAGGACAGCACTCAGGGCCTTGTGCATGCTAGGCAAATTCTGTACCAACTGAGGTCTATACCCAAACCCCAACACATGTTGCAATGTGACCCACTGTCCTGCAATCTGCCAGCAGAGGAGCATGGAGTATTTCCAAGGGCAGTCTGTCGAGGCTGACATCATCACAGAACCTGTAGGTGTTGTCTTTGCCAAAAAAGGCTCACCTAGGTGCCTGGTCAGAGATAAATGTGACACTGCTGGGGCCCATACCTGACAATATCACACTTCCACTGTTCCCCTTCAGGACAGAAGCTGCTCACGCCCTCCCGGTACAGGAGGGCCCTCTGCTCTGTCAGTGCCCAAACCACACTGTTCCGGGCAGTGATCTGGGACAGTGGGTAAGGACAGTCGACCTTCATAGCTCGGGCACAGGGCCGATCCACACTGAGACCTGTAGCGAGAGGGGAAGACTCAGACTCATCAGCAGCATGTCATACCCTATCCTGATCTGTGATTTTCGTTCTTTGCTCCTTTTACTATCTATGGGCTTCCATATTAGATAGCTTTTCTTCTTGAGATTTTTATCAATAACAACAAAAAAAGTCAAGAAATACAATTCAGAATTTTCTGGTGTTCCAAACCAGCTTAAGAAGTTCTCAAGACAGGGCAGTCCAGGGCAGGATGGCAGCCAACCTAGATAACAGCACGGAGGGCTTCCCTTCTGCCAACAAGGCTGTGTTCCTCAGGGCCTCAGAAGACAAGGGGTCCTCAGCTGCAGACCCAGCAGCTCTGTTCCCCTGTTCTCTGCTGACAGTGTGGGGCTACCCTGCTAAAGCGCAAATCCCCACTTCCCAGGTGAAACCTGAGATCTGTCACACTGCCATGATTGTGACAGTCAGGGCTCTAGGTGCCTCCTTCACCTCTTTGAGGCCTGTCAGTAATGTGTGTCATGCACCTAAATGAGGTCAAAGACAACTACTAAGGGAGCAGGCAGGAGAGCTAATATCTAAACCCCGTGTTCCACTGCCTTGGCCTGCAACTAGGCCCTAGCAGTACAATCACAAAGACACCCACAGTACATACAACTGCGCAGACTCGCCTGTAGGACTTCTTTCTGCAAATCCTTGCCAAGCCCACACTAAGCCAGCAGGTCTGGGAAGGGTTAGGGTAATCTGAAAACTGCTCTGGCATCATGGTTAGGAGGTCACCTGCTCCTTACCTGTAGGTTTAAAGTATCCCTTTTCCTGCCAGGACCAAAATCAAATGCCCTGGAAGCTGGATGTGCATGTGCTTATCAGAGCAGCCTATTTCCATTCCAAGACACAAGAACTAACTAAACTGAAGGTCCACATGTCCATGAAGGTGGCAGGGCTGCCCACCAGTGTGAGGCTCCTCCACACCTCGCCAGCCAGATGAGAAACGAGCTTTCAATGTGGAGAAGCATTCCTGGCTGATGATTCATTCCAAAGATGGAACCATGCTCTCAGAATCAGTATTATTAAATGACTAGATACATCAATCTTCATGTAAACCCAATATGGCCTCTTGACAGCCCAAACACAACCCCTGCCCGCCAGGCCATTTCCCCTGTGCTGACAGTACACAAACACTGACTCATTATAGTTTATTTTTAATAAACAAGTCCCACTGTGCCCGTTCTAGCAGCTAAAGGTTTCCCTAAAGGCAGTTTCCTAGGACAAGTCAATCTGCTATTTACAGCAAATTACTTCTTGTTGTCTTTCCCCAGAACCCACATGTAACTACACGTACAGGTGCCGGGCTTTGACCTAGCTGGGAAAAGGGAGCTGATGTCGAGTCCTGCCAATTACTCTTTCCTCTTAGGAGTGGATACTGCAGGGTAGGCAAAAGGCATCAGTAGCCGCAGAAGTGCAGGTTGGCTCCTGCATGGCACTCTGCATTGTACTTATCATCTATGCACTCTTGTTCCGACCCAACCCATGCTCGGCTGGGGGACTGCTCTTCCATGGCAAACACTGGGCTTCTAGAAATGTTTTCATTTAACTTGGTTTTCGGTCTCTGCATCCTGTGACTGCTCTCAGAATGTGACTAGCAGCAGATTCAGCAAATGACAAGGACAATGTACACGGCCTTCAACTACCTGTCTGAAGGTACAGATCTCCATTGGTCCTGATGATCCAGGCTGTGTCATCACTCAGGGCCACAAACACAGCCTGGGGCAGAGCCTCATACCAGTGCCGCTTTCCCTTGATGGTAACTTTGCCACAAGCAAAAGCACGGTTAGATTTCTGCTCAATCTTCCAGAGAAGAGCCCCTAGGAGAAAAAAATTCTACTCACTGCTCAACAAACATGAGAGTCATCTACATAAAAACTCCATCTGGGCACTGCAAGGGACAGCTTTCTAAAACATGTCTTGTTGTTTTCAACTCAGGGACGAGCTCACCATGCTGGAGTTTGAACCCACCAGCTATCTGTTGTTGGACATCAATGTGAATGTGTTCAAGCCTCACTTTCCTCAACTGAAAATGGGCTCATTTCTACCTTCTGGGATTGACCTAAAAGTTAGATGTGAAAAGAGATCCACCACAGAGGCGGCCACTCATGACGGGGAGAAGTGACAGTTCTATGAGTTTGATTAGCTAAGTGGGGCACAATTAGTCCCCAAATACTAACCTTGAGGACTCAAAGGGAAGGGCCTCCTTTGGACCTGAGTTGGGTGGCCCGTTTTCATTAAAAGAATTCTGAAGAACAGATAAAGGAAGCAAGGAAAGGTGGAAGGCAGGCCAATGGCACTATATATGGAGGCTATGACATTGGGTGAGGTGAAGAACCACAGGGGAATGAATGCGCATGAACTGAGCTAAACAAGATCTACAGAGGGCTCATGCATGTAGCACACCCCCCGCCCCCTCAACACCATGTGGCACAGGGTAGCCATTTCAGCTGTAAATCTTACAGAGACAGACTGCTCCAATCAGAGCAACTGAGGAATGGTTGGGAAAATAAGAAGTAATTAATATAATCAGCAGAGAACCAACATTTCTAAACGGCTAAGAGGATGAATCCAAAAGTATGTGACAGAAACAGGGGGAAAAAAAGGACATACAATTACACAATGCCAGCTAATGGGGTGGGCTATTATCTCAGCCAGCCTCCAGGGGAAAATAATTTTCAAGCAAGTAGTGGAAGAAAGTGAGCAAACAACCCTGAATAAACTAACATTTTAACAAGAACTTCCTTTCTTTTGCTTCTCTGCCATGATTCCCACTGCGTCAGAACAGAGAAACATGTATCCAGCACTAGGAAAAAGCAAAGAAGCATAGTGGGGTTCTGCCTCTAACCCCAGCTCTTGGGAGGCTGAGGGAGGAGGACCCAAAGTTCGAGGCCAGCTAGGACTCCACAGTGAATTCAAGGCCAGTCTGTGCTATATAGCAAGGTCACATCTAAAAACAAAACAAAACAAACAAACAAAAAACCCACTAACAAAAATGTAAATAAGTCTAGGTAGATAAGAGAATTATCTCAGCCTAGCAGAACTGTATTCTAAAAAGTCTCCTTGGTTTCACTAAAATGCTAAAGAATGCCATGAAAATCTGAGGGCCTTTCCTATTACAGTCAGGGAAAAAATATCAGAAAAAGAAACCAGATGACTGGAACACATCCACCATACATCCACAGGCCTGTCTTCACTAGTTCGACTGCTTTATAGCAACACTGACAAACAGAAATACATGTTATTTTTATGAGGATTTAGTGTGCCAACATGACTAAAAACCCGTCAAAATTCAAATTATTTGTATAGCTTACAAAATTGTGTTCACATGTTATCACTTTAATTAATAAAATGAAAAACCAAAAATTCAAGTAAGTATGCTGAACACTCATTACCCTAACTGGTGCCAAAGGAAGCATTCATGATCTTTACAGAACCCGACTAAGCTGGCAGGCAGGTCAATCCGATGACAGTATGCTGTGGCCAGAGGAGAGCTGCCCTGTGAGCTGGGAGCAGGGCTGGGGGTTGGGAAATGGGAGCTGGGAGGCGAACCTGAGGGAGAGACTGCCACCTGCTGGACAGCATCTTCAAACCTCTGCCAGCGCAGCCCTGCACCAGGCAGGGCACTGCAGAACAGGCCACCTTTGTAGTCCAGGCACCAGATAAACTTTTCCGAGACCGCCAAGCTGAGGATGCCATAGCCAGGACCCGAGTAGCCCATCCAGCTCTCTGCAAACTAATAAGGACAGAGGCCAGTGAGTTCTGTGGCAAGAGACACAGCTTCATCACATTGTTACAACAAGAAAAGTGGGCAGACTATTAAAGTGAAGGGATCTTTGAGAAGCCTTGCCTACCCCTGCTCTCCTTGGATCTAGTCTCAGAAACATTCTGGAACAGGAGCTGTGGTCCTCATGGAAGACCCCATACCATCCCTGGACAACACTTTCTCATAGCATAGCACTCTTCCTAAGTAATGCTTGAAGGTGTATCCAACCACTTGGCAGAACAAGAAGACATTGTCATCTAGTAAGTCCACACTCAGGAACCATACAACTGAGTTACCCTGGCCCCCTAAAAAAAACTGCAAAAGAAAACCTAACATTTTAAGTAAGTTTACGATTTTACATTGGGCTGTGCTTATAGCCATCCTGGTGTGCATGTTCCACATAGGATACAGGCTGTGCATGCTGGTAGAAGCTGACATCACATCTTAAGAGATCTGGCTTTATTCTATGCATACCTTACATTACACAAGGAGGTGTGTTCATCAACATGTGTATGAAAATCAACTTTCTGTATACTTACTTACGACAGGTGCACTATGGGAACAGCACTACCACTGTCTGCATTAGTTTTCCAAACATTGTTCTAACCTTTGGTGACACCTGGCGTGTTGTATGGGAACAGCTAGGGGAAGTGTTGGATAAGACACTGTCTGAATTTTTCATTTGTATTACATTTATTTAATGTAATTATATGTGTGCACACACGAGTGTGCTATAGCACATGTGTGGCAGTCAGAAGACAACCTGTGAGAGTTGGTTCTCCCCTTCCATCACGTGGGTCCTAGACATGGAGCTCGGGTCATCAGGCATTAGTCTTTACCCACTGGCCTGTCATGTTGGTCCCATGTTGCTAAGATTTGTTTAAAAGTCAAAGCTAAATAAAGGACATATATTTTAGTATACATAGTTGCACAACTACCGGATATGGAAGCTAACGTATGAAAGAGAATGGTGTCCACCTCTTCTCCACCTGGCTCTGCTCACCACGGCAAACTTCTTTCTCCTAGCCCTTGTCCTCCAAAACAAAACACCACCACCATTTCTAACCTTTTCTGCTATTTGGAGCAAGACCAGGCGTGGCAAAGCTTGGTAGGTGACTTCAGAGATCCAGGATCCTTCTCCACAGGTAAGGGCTCTCCTAAGCTTCCAACCAGCCCTAACATACACCAACCGTTACGATCTGCCAGCTAATACTCTATGTCAGGTGATCACCCTGCTGTGGCCTCTCACAGCTCTGCACTTGGCTCAACACCCTACCCAAGTCCCATTCAACTGATATTCTGAACATGTGCCTGCCTTTCCAGAGATATGGAGTCCACAGCTAGCTGTCACTTGCACTGGCAGTTAAGAGCACTTAGGAAGCAGTGCACTGAAAACATGAATGTAGGCTGCTGAACAAGCAGTCAACTTCTGGCAAATTCACTTCTGAGACACAACACAAAACGGGAGAGAATCCTGGGCCACTCTGGACTTCACTTATAATGTGACCTGGTGCATACACCACTTCACTTTTGTTAGCTTCAATTCCCTCCTCCATAAAATGGGGACAACTGCACTTGTGTCCTAGTTTGCTTTCTTCCTAAAAAATTGACTTAAACGTGTGACGTGCTCAGCACATACCTGTACATGGTGAGAACTGATAAACATCACATGCTCTTAGCTCTGAAGATGCAGTGGTGGCCTCATATCAATTACTAGGGAATATGGTGATGCAGGGTTAGTTCTGAAGCCAAATATATTTGCTAAGACTTACTTGTTAAAAAAAATACTTAAAAATCATTTTTAGGACTGGGCATGGTGGCACAAGACTAACCCAAGCACTCAGGAGGCAGAGGCACGTGGATCTCTGAGTTCAAGGCCAGCTTGGTCTATATAATAAGTTCCAAAACAGCCAGGGCTATATAGAGACCCTGTTTTTAAAAAACCATTTTTAATATAAAGGTCTAAGAGAACAATAAATTACACTGACTGGGAAGCCCCTTAGCAGATTAGGGGCTTCATTCTCCAAAGTGTGTCCTGGGGGTACTGTGTGGATGCTGAGGAAACAGCATTTCCGGAAAGACCCCCAATTCATACTGATGTTCCTAGAAGTCAATGGACTGTGGAAAGGGGCAGGAACTACCCACCTCATATGTGCTCAGAGCAAACAGTCCTCTGCCCAGTGGTATTCCAATGACCCCAGGCTACCTGAAGTGCCTGAACTGGTCTGGCATTGCAAGATACCACTTTGTTGGTAAGAGGTCAACTGAGCAGGGTCAGAAGTACTACAGTTCCAATTATTAAGGGCCCCTGCATAGGAAACTGCCCCAAACCCAGACTTCAAAGCTACAGATTTTGCAGGAGTATGATTTCCATAAGAAGGAAAATAAAGGAGCCAAGGATGCCCCTTAAAGGAAAAGCAGCAGCTGCCATCTCAGTCACACTTCCTCCATCAGCACACAGACCTGATCTGTCTTGAGCAGTGTGGTGTCATCAGTCCCTGGCTGGCTCAGGTCCTGCAGAGAGCGACCAGCTCCAAGCTCTGCCACACTCGTCTCTGAGGATGAAGATGGGAGCCCATGGGCATAAATGTCTTCCTCATCACTGGATGTCGCTGCCTGATCCTGGAAAGGTTGGTTCAGCCAATGCTCATGGGTGCTGGCCACCAAGGCAGAGGTAAGAGGAGTCACCTGTCCTTCCACATTTCCTATGGCACATTCAGAAGTGAGTATTTCTTTCTGACTTGTGTCATTATCAGTGACTACATGCCAAGGATTTGAGCTCAGGTGGCTAGGGACCTCCACATGGGTCAGGATATCCGGCTCTGGGCTGGTCTCTTCAGTGTGGACTTCATAAACTCCAATCCCAGGCAGCCACTGCTCAGCACCTGGGGGCCAGCTGAGGCGGGAAGGTACCATAAGTGAGTCCAGAAGAGGGGCTTCAGAAAAAGTGCTCTGGGGATCACTGAACACCATGGTGTTCACTTCCCGGGCCTCAGCAGAGCCCTCCTGTTTTCTCAGGCATAACTGTGTATGTCCTGCTGCATCATCAGCAGGAGCAGGCTCCTCTTCCAGTCCTGAGATGATGTCACTACCTCCCACATTCTCCCCTAGCCGCAAGGGTAAATTCAACACTCCATTGAGCAGGTCCATGTCCTGTGTGTGGTCACACTGGGAAGGTTCCTTTCTGGGGCCATTCTCTTCATCCACTGGGTCAAGGGCAGATTCAGGAACCCCTAGGACACTGAACGTTTCAGAGCCATTGTCTTCCTGCAGGATCCCATTCACCTCAGCACTGGGGTTGCTCTCCTGGTCTGGAGACCCTGTGCTCAACTGATCCACACTACTGCCAAGAGCACTTGAGGTCATGGACAGGAGGTCTGTGTTCAAGGACTGGGGGCTGTCACCAGGGAATTCGGAGCAGGGAGTTGACTCGAGGGAACTGTGGCAGGTGCTCTTGGTTCCACCTTCTAATTTAAAATGAGAACATTCAAAATAAGGCATGACTCTACATAAATAACCAGAATACTGAAAAAACATTTGGCTCAAGAAAAAAGTATTTTAAATGAAGGCTATTTAGTAGGGTATAAATTAATCTCTATAGTCCCAGAATGTGTGAGGTAGAGACTGGAAGCCCAAGAGTTTGAAGCCAGTCTGAGATATGAAGTAAGTTCCAGGCTAGCCTCAGCTATTTACCAAGATTCTCACACCCCCATAAAAAGAAGAGGGAGCCGGGCAGTAATCCCAGTACTCAGAAGGCAGAGGCAGTTCTCTGAGTTCGAGGACAGCCTGGTCTACAGAGTGAGTTCTAGGACAGAGAAGGCTACAAAGAGAAACTCTGTCTCAAAAAAAAAAAAAAAAAGGTAGAAATGCCCAGAAGCCTCATTAAAGAAATGCTAAGAAAGTGGAATAGGAATTAAGCACCATGGATCATAGGCCAATGTTTTTAAACTGTCAAAATGCATGAGTTCAATAATATTTTCCTTTAATAATATAGCAACCTTTAGCTATAGAAGGGTCAATAGGCACCAAGGAGTGAATAGCTCAAAAAGTTCTACGTGGCTGGCTATGGTAGTGCACACCTTTGATCCCAGCACTTGGGAGCCAGAGGTAGCAAGATCTCTGTGAGCTCAAGCCTAGCCTGGTCTACACAGTAAATTCTGGGTCAGCCAGGGCTACATATAGAGATTCACCTTTAAAAAAAAAAAGTTCTATGTTAAATCCCATATTTGGTAACATGTCAACACAAAATGTAAGATGTCTAACAAATATACTAGCATAAATCCCTGTTTCAATGACTGTCCCATGTTTGTAGGATCTCTGGTCTAATGAATGGTATATATGGATGTGGTAGTTTGAATGTAAATGGCCCCCATAATCTCATAGGGAGTGGTACTATTAGGAGGTGTGGCTTTGTTGGAGTGGGTATGGCCTTGTTGGAGGAAGTCTGTCACTGTGGGAGCAGGCTTTGAGGTTTCCTATGCTCAGGATACTGCCCAGTGTCTTAGTTGACTTCCTGTTGTCTGTAAGATGTAGGACTCTCAGCTCCAGTACTACATCTGCCTGCAGGCCATGATGATAATGGACTGAATCTCTGAAGCTGTAAGCAAGGCGCCACAATTAAATGCTTTCTTTATAAGAGTTGCCATGGTCATGGTGTTTCTTTATAGCAAGAGAAACCCTAAGACAGTATACAAGTCAATATCTTATATTAAATATTATCTTAAATATTAAAAAGAGCAAAATCTAGAGCCTTTAGTCAGGGCCTGACCACATGGACAAATGCCCTACCAATACATGTCCTACAGAGATGCTTATGTATGCAGGTGTGTACTGTTAGTTTTGTGGGGAAGAGTGCTTTCAGTGTGTGAAGTTCTCTGTTCAGCCAAGAGTAGCAAGTACCCCTTTTGTGAGACCATCATCCCTTCCTGGTAGATGTGCACATCCCTAAAGGGTTGGCCTTAGGTGCCACATGAGTCAGTGTGCACCTGCCCATGGACAGTACCTGTCTTTCTCTTCCTCCTCTTCTTCTTCACTTTGATGGGTTTCACAATGAGCTCCTGGTCAAAGTCTTCAGAACTGATAATACTGAATCTCTGTGAGGATGGCTGGCTACCCTGGTCCAGCTCGGGGGCAGCCTGAAGTCCGGGCAACAGCAGCCCAGAGCCACTGTCCGTGGAGTTGAGTGAACTGCTCCTGCTCCGTTGCTCACTGGCCACAGAACTGGCCACAGAAGAGCCTCGAAGTCTTGTCTCACAAACAGTGGCCCCCAGTGACTTCTCCAAATGCTGCCCATGGACCTGCTCTGAACATCTTGTCTCCAGACCATCTCTCACTGAGAAAGAAGAGTTTAGTTTTACTACTGGTTCTTTCAGAGACATCTCTGTGCATCACTCAGTTTACTAGCTTGAGCACCAGCAGTCACAGGACAACCAAGACTCTCTCCTGCTAAAAACTGAGCAACTCCAAATTCCCCAAACCGGGAGAAACTCAAAGGACCACACAGCAGACGGCAAGGGGCCTTTGTGCTCCAGGAAGCTCATATATTAAAATCAGTAAAATAGTTGACTGCAGTTGTTTTTTGTAAAAAACCACCAGTAACAGAACATCACTAAATATAAAGCATTTCTCATTTCATTCTATAAATTCTTTATAAATTTTTCTGTATCAAGAAGTTAAATTCCTTATTTATACTATGCCTTCACTATACCTTAATATTACCCAAGAGGCATTAAAAAATGCCTGCATCGACCGGGCAGTGGTGGTACACACCTTTAATCTCAGCACTCAGGAGGCAGAGCCAGGAGGATTTCTATGAGTTCAAGGCCATCCTGGTCTACAGAGCGAGATCTAGGACAGGCACCAAAACTACACAGAGAAATCTTGTCTCAAACCGCTCCTCCGCCCCCCAAATGCCTGTGTCTTATAATCAAATTCCTTGAAATTCAAGGAAGAAAAGTGAATTTCCCATAGGATGGGTTCATAACAGAGGAGGACAGAGGTGGGCAGTGTCAATGCAAGCATAGAGCAGGGTGAAGGCCATGGGCCCCAGTGAAAAAGACCCAGTAAGCGTCCCACTGCAGTGGACCCTCCCCTCCTTCAACATAGCATTACTGAGGTAGGTCTTCAGGGCTGGGGCCTCCAATGCTAACACCCTCCACACGAAACCGATGTGCACTTCGACCAGTGCAGTCATCCTTTCCTTACCAAGTATCTACTGGGTGCCATGTTCTGCACAAGGTGCCATGTAACAGCAGTCAACAAGACACGTGAACTCTTATCCTTGGGGCACAAACATTCCCCTAAAGGTTGTTCACTAGGGCAGGAGAGGGGCTGACCTCTGCTCTGAAGTGACTTGCCAAAGATCACACAAATTAATGGGAATGCTAGGTTTGGAGCTGTACTGTGTTATGTGGAACCACTATCAACATGTAACTACTGAAATTCAAGTGAATTAAAATTAAACAAAATTTAAAATTCACATTTGAAACAGTTATCCCTGCAGATAAACTGCTCCCGGAGAGCAGTGGCTGAGTCACTGCTCTTTTCTGTTAGCCACACTGTAACTTGCTTATCCTGTTTTAGGGGTCTTCAGATCATAAATTTTATGCACTTCTTATAAGAATTCTGGTTTTGGGGTTGGGGGTTTAGCTCAGTGGTAGAGTGCTTACATAGCAAGCGCAAGGCCCTGGGTTTGGTCCTCAGCTCTGGGGTGGGAGGTGGGGGGGGGAAGAATTCTGGTTTTATAATATCAATTCCAAGTTGTCCTCTACTGCTTGAAAAGATAAGTGGTAACAATAAAGGGCGGCTGGCAAGATGCTGTCACCACCAAAAGCAGGTTTAGCATGGAGTCCCAGTTACACCAAGTTGAATGAAAACACTGTTAACGATTCTTTGCTCACTAGGAGTAGTTACAGAGTAGGCATTTAGTATGTGCAAGGCCTGGGGGCTGAATCCCAGCACTGCAAAACAAAATAAGGTCTCCTGGCAAATACCTGTAATCCCAGCACTTTGGAGGCTAAGTCAGAAGAAATGAAACGTTAGGGCCAACCTGGGCTATATTATAAGATCCTGCCTAAAAACTAAAAACAAATCAAAACAAACAAAACACATTAGGGTATGCATGAACTATAAAATTAAAAACCAAAGCACAGGGCAAAATATCAATCCCAAAGGACAGTCTGTGTCTAGGGTAATATATACCAGATTGCAAGTTTCATGGTTTTAAAATTACACAAATCTGTGTCTCAGAGATATTAACTACACACAGTGTCTCAGACAGGGCACCGAGGGCCAGGCAAGTGGTTTCTGATTTCTCCTTCCTACTCACTCAACCACCCATCCTCACATTTAGAGCATCTCCACCACTGTGAGACTGTCCAATATATATCTTAGAGCAGGTCACTTCCGTGACAAGCATCCTGAGTGTTTTCAGAATCCTAAGCCTACAAATACCTCCATGTTTAAGCAAACCCCAAACTATCTTTCTTTCTTTTTTTACATTTTTTTGTTGTTATTTAGTTTTCAATACAGGGTTTCTCTGTGTAGCCCAGGCTGTCCTGGAACTCCCTCTGTAGAGCAAGCTGGCCTCACCTGCTTCAGCCTCCCTGAGTGTTCAGATTAAAGGTACACAGTTGGTTTAAACTACATTTATCTTTTTTTTTGGGAGGGGGGCTTTTCGAGACAGGGTTTCTCTGTGTAGCTTTGGCGCCTTTCCTTGAACTCACTCTGTAGCCCAAGGCTGGCCTTGAATTCACAGAGATCCACCTGCCTCTGCCTCCCGAGTGCTGGGATTAAAGGTGTGCGCCACCACCACCTGGCTTAAACTGAATTTATCTTACCACAAGCGGGAAGGACACTTTTCAGAGCATAGGACTCAGTACACACAGCACACTTGGTACTGAATACAAACCTATGGATCCGAGTCCTTCAGGCCTGCTTGAAATCCTTATAATGTTCCTATCTCCCTTTAGGAAAAATATTTCATTTTCTGTGCAGGAAACAGACACAATATCACCCAGTCCTTCCAAACCAGCAACAGTGGCCTGTCAAAAAACAAACAAGAAACATGAAACCAGGCAATAAAAACAAAAACAGAACAAGCAAGCGTGATAATCCAAATAATTATAATTGTTGGATTTTGTTATGGCAGTTCTGGAAAACTCTTAAAAGCAATTCAACCCACAGTTGGGTAGTATTTGATATACAGGACCTAAACCACGTAACTTAGCACTAAGGTGCCATTGAGGTGCACAGCTTCTCCCACCTCTCAGCCATTCTCTTCCTGGACCTGCCAGCTCTCACTCTTCTTATGAAAGCTTATACTCCTTGTCAGGGCAGGAGGCCTAGCATTCTGACTGCCGTCATCCCGCCTATTTTGTGCTTCAAGGACTCAGTGCGTGCCGGGCGAAAGCCTAGCTTGCTCTTGTGGCCTATGCACATAGCACAGGCTTTTCTCCTGCTGGGCGTCCCTTCCTGTTCACTGGGAAGGCTTGGCCTTAGGAAGTGCTGCTTGAGCACTGTCACCTTGAACAATGACTAAGTCTGCCCAGGGGTTGACAGCATGTGCTACAAACCGCTATGTCATGCATCTCTCCTGGACTGGCCAGGAATGATACACCAGCCAACCAATGCCCTTATTCTGTTCTTTCCTATGGGAGACTAGGAGCCTTGCAGCCCAAGACTTTTGAGTGAATGAAAGAAGGGAGGAAAAAGCAGATTGCACCCCATAGGATTATCCTGAGTCCACACAAATCTAAACCAGTTCTTGCTTTTCAGCTGACAGTACGCATGAGAGATTAGTTCACTGCAGGAGACACTGAGCCTAGGTTCCCTGCTAATTTTTAGGCAGCCTTGACAGAAAGCTGGAAACACGACAGTAGATTCCCAAAGCTGCCCATCATGGTGCTTCAGAGAGGTGCAGACTCTGATGGTGGAGCCAGTGTCTATTCACAGACACACTGTCTCCATTTCCCTGCCTATGAAATGAAGTTAATTATACCTGTGTTGAGAGGCACAGAGGAAGCGCTCAGATGAAAAGGACTGATGCATAATTGCAACATGTCTTAAAGCCAATAATTAAGTTCAACAGGAACCCAGGAGAAAAGTTAAGTCATCCATAATGGGAGAAACTAAATAAACTAATGAAGGGTTAGAAGGTGAGCCCTTAATCTAGAACCCTGGTGCCCCACTGTACAGATAAGAGAACCAAGTTCAGGCAGATCATAGACTTGTAGGGCCAAGTTACCTCTACACCAAAAGTGTCACCAAGCATGGCTGGTAACTAGGGAGGTGTCAGTGGGGCAGCTAAGTTTGATTCTCTGTGGATGCTCTCTCTAGAGATGCTAAGCCACAGGCCCACAGAGCTAATGTGGAGGGAGACAGCCTGGCCTGAATTCTGGAGGCCTAGAGTAGGGAGTGGGGCAGGCAGAAGCTCTGATCTTAGGACAAGAAGTAACTGACACCAAACAGCTTTGTTTAAAGTCCTCAATCAGATTCTGGGAGTGACCTGTTATCACCTTGATCCAGGCAGAACTCGTTTTCTACTGGGAGTTAATGATCCTGGGAAGTTGCCAAGATATGCCAGTAAATTTCTAAAAAGAAAGGGGAAAAAGGCAAAATAATATGGCTGTCTTTGGATAAGAAGCACAGTAAAAGAAGAAGAAAAAACCCAACAAACCAACAAACCAAAACAGCAACAAGGGAAGAGCGTGTGGGAGGGAAGGACCCTGCTCCTGGGCTGGCACTATCCGTGAGGCCTGGGAGTCAGTCCTCAGAGTTACTGTTTCTCTAACATTTGATCCATCACTGGATGAGATTACAGTAATTTAGTAGCCAGAAAACACATAATCTAGGAAGGCCTGGTGGCACAGGTGTAATCCCAGGTACTTGACAGGCTGAGTCAAGGCAATCAAAAGTTTAAGGCCTATCTGAGCTACAGAAAGGGTTCAAGACCAGCCTGGGCAGCTTAATGAGTCCCCGTGTCAAAATAAAAAGTAAAAAACAAAAACAAAACAGGGCTGATGATATAGCTCAATAGTAGAGCATCTGACTAGCATTCATGAGGCCCTGGGTTCAACCCCAAGTTCTGCAAATGCCAAACTAAAACAAAATACATGACCTAGAAGCAGGCAGAGCATATGCTTAACATGCACAAACACCCTGAATTCAATAACAAGAAAAACGTATGCATGCATGTCTGAACACATACATACATGCATGCACGGAAAAGAAAAGAAAGGAAGGGAAGGGTGGGTCGGTGAGAGGCTTGGCAGCAAAGGTAAGGGGACTTACCATCAAACCAGATGACCTGAGTTCAATCCCTGGCACCCAACGTGGAAGGACAGAAACAACTCCACAAGTTGTTGTCTGACCTCCACATGGGTGCCAGGACATGCAGGTGTGATCACAAGTAGGCACATGTGCATGCACATACACACAACATACACAAATATAATTTTTAAAAATGACCTAGAAAGGTTATAATGAACAAGTTTAATTTGGGGCTTTAAAGACCCCCCCAAAACATCTAATTTCTCGGCAGAGTAGGACTATGAATGTCAAAAAGCAAATTATTTTTCAAATCTACAAAAATTACTGAACTCCATTTGATTTCCTTGATTGTCTCAAAGGAAAAGAAAAAAAAGCAAGCACTAGAGTTAATGCTGCTCCTTCATCTCTCCAGGAGCCCAGTGGCTGAACACCTGAGGACCTGACCCTCCTCTTGCCCCGTGACCCTAAAGACAGGTGCAGTTCCCACACACCTGGTTGACGGTATCCAGAAGATAGATACTGTACTCATTCCAGCTCAGCACCCAGCCTTCTCGAAAGAAGCACGAAACGAGCCCCAGGTGTTTCTCAGGTGAGCTGCAGCTTCCCCTATCAGGCTCCAGGCGAGGGTAGAGCTCAAAAGGTGTGACTCCTCCAGCAAAGACATCCTTGAGGATAAACGTGGCTTGAACCGTCCCATGGACATCGGCCTTCCACAGCCGTAGCCCAGGCCGGGCTGCATACAGGGTGAGGTCACTTTGCTTACACAGTCCTGGTATAAAACAAGCACCAAATTTCCCAGTACTAAAATCGGAAGAAAAAAAAAAAAAAAACGAAAGAAAGGAAAAAAACAAAAAACAAAAACAGGCATGGACTGACTTGAAGTGATATAATCGTCAACTCCTAATATCAGCTCTAAGAATCTACTAACACAAGTCCTTGTCCTGTCTACTGAGTGCTGCTCACTAAATCACACTAGCATCCTTGTGCCACCCAGGCCCCCCACGCCTTCACAAGTACATACTACCTGGAGCATGCATCCTAGATTCTGAGGATCATCAACGGTACCCACCACAGCTTGCTCGCCCATGCTTACGCCCATTCTCCCTTTAATACTTGCTGCAACTCCACGAGGCAACTATTCGAGCTTCTGTTACAGAAGAAGGAGTGACAAATGCAGGGCTGTCCCTGCTAACTCTGCCCTGCAGTGCTGTTCCTTCTCAAGTCTGATCCTGTGGTCACTCCCTCATTTCTTGAATGAAAAGCTTTACATCTAGAGTAGCTCATCTATATCTCTTTCAAAACTTCTCCAAACCCATCAAGTGTACCAGTTTCTCTTCCCATTCTCAAGCTTGGTGTTATTTTCTGATAAAACTTTGAAGTACCCAACACACACAAAAGAGCATAGGTGGGAGCTGAAGAGATGGCCCTGTGGTAAAGTGCACTGTTGCTCTTGGAGATGTCCCAGATTTGGTTCCCAGGATCCACAGGGTGGCTCACAATTAGCTGTAACTCAAGTTCTAGGGGATCTGATGCCCATTTCTGACCTCCTTGAGTACCAGGCACTCATATACTGCATATATACACACTCATATACTGCATATATACACACTCAAATACTGCATATATATATACACACACACACACACATATATATATGTATATATATGCAGGTACAAGACTCATAAAATAAATATTTTTTATTTTTTATTTTTTCGAGACAGGGTTTCTCTGTGTAAACAGCCCTAGCTGTCCTAGAACTTGATCTGTAGACCAGGCTGGCCTCGAACTCACAGAAATCCACCTGCCTCTTGCCTCCCAAATGCTGGCATTAAAGGCGTGTGCCACCACACTCAGCTATATATATTTAAAAAGAGATAAAGGTGCTGGATGATAGTGGTGCACTCATTTAATCCCAGCACTCAGGAGGCAGAAGCAAAGCAGATCTTTGCATTCAAGGACAATCTAGACTACAAAACAAGTTTCAGAACAGCCAGGATTATACAGAGAAACTCTGTCTCAAAAAAAAATTTTAACCGGGCGGTGGTGGTGCACGCCTTTAGTCCCAGCACTCGGGAGGCAGAGCCAGGTGGATCTCTGTGAGTTCGAGGCCAGTCTGGTCTACAGAGCGAGATCCAGGACAGGAACCAAACTACACAGAGAAACTCTGTCTCGAAAAACTAATAATAATAATAACAACAATAAATAAAATGAACATATCTAACAAAAAAATTTTTTTTATAAGAGTGTTCACAATAAATGTCATAAAGCCTAATGGAATGTGCACCGGGGACCCATTCTCTACCTTCAGACCAAGTCAGCAGCTGCATCATGCATGCACTTTGGGCTCCTAATGATTTGCCCAGCCAAAATTCAGACCAATGGTCTAAATTTTGTGTGTATCATTCTCATTTTTATTGACACTTCAGTTACATATCTATTTACCCCAACACTAATTTGGCACTTTCATTTTAATAAATGATGCCATTTGTATAATTTGGCAGCTTGTCTTTTCAATATTTTTAATTTAGGGGATAATTTTTTTTTAATTATGTGCTTTTGTGTGTGTTTACATGCATGTGAGAGCAAGTGCCAGTGGAGGCCAGAAGATGGCACAGGATCCCCTGGAACTAGAGTTAGAGGAGTTGTGAGCCATCCAATGTGGATGATGGGAAAGGAACTCTTATCCTCAGTAAGAACAGTTATGTGCTCTTAGCTGTTGAGGTACCTCTCCAGCTTTACACATACCTATATACATAGTGTACACACCCCACTTTTTGATAATTTTAAGTAACTTGTGTTTTATACTTAACATTGTTTCTAAGATTTATCTTTGATTTTAAAAAGGAAGCTTTAGTGCTTATTCATTTTGACTGCTGTATAGTTTTTCACAATTTACTCAATTGTTAAAATTATCCCTTTTTTGAGGTAAGCTATCATTACATAGTCCAGAGTGACCTCAAACTCAAAATTCTATTGTCTCAACCTCTTAGATTCCATTGTACTACACCTGACTTCTTATTGTTAAAAAAATCCATATATATTGCTACAAAATGTTTCCTGGGGATACTGGAATATGCATGAATTTGGGGAAAGTGTGCATATCTATGAATCTAATATTTACCTTATTTAGTTTTTATGATACTGGGAATTGAGCTATGAGCCTTGAACATGGTGGACAAGCACTCTACTACCCAGCTACACATGAAGTATTTGTTTTTTAGAAATAATTTATTCTAGGTTAAGAGTACTTGCTGCTCTTCCAGTGGACTAAATAAAATCTTAAAAATAAATAACTTATTTAATCTTATTACTGGATTGTTGCTGTTGTTAATTTGTTGGGTTTGAGGCAGGGTCTCATGAAGCCAACACTAGCATGGAATTTGGTAGGCTATGGTGATTGCTATATAGCCGAGGATGACCTTGAACTTCTGATCTACTTGTCTCCACTAACCAAGAGCTGGGATTACAGGGGTATACCACTGAGCCCACCTAAGACATTTTGTTCCTTTTCTTTTCTTTCCCATATGGCTGGAGATTAAACTCAGGGCCTCATCCATGCTAGGCAAGTACTCTGCCACTGTGCTACCAGTCTGGTATTTGAATTACTATTTTCTTTTGGCACACAACTCGGAATGGAGCCCAAGCTTCACATATGCTAGGTAAGTCCTTGACCACTGTGCAACACCTTAGACTTTTTCTTAAACTATTTCTTGTTGGTTTGTTTGGTTTTCTGAGACAAGGTCTCATTATGCAACTCTGGATGGCCTGTAAATGACTGTGTAGACCAGGCCTGCCTCTGCTGGGTTAAAGGCATGTGCCACTACGGCTAGCTTTCTTAAACTATTTTGCATAATGGTACTATGTGCCATAAACATTTTTTGCACATCCTTCCTAGGATACAGGCCTAATAAAGTTATTTCCAGAGTAAGATTGGTGAGTTGTTGCATTCAAGTTTATAGTCAATATGCTTATACCAGTCTACCCATGAGACCCCCACCTCAGCCCCTGCCCCACGGACTGAGTTCTCAGGAGCTCTGTTTTGTATCTTTGCCAATGCTCAGATTTCAACCAGAGTTCAAATTGAAGAGTTTTAGCTCACCTCTAAGCCTTTTTCTAAACAGTTCTTTCTTAAAAGGGCACTGGTTTGAGTGTACAGTTATTAGCCTTTTGAGATCTCTGTGTGCTAAGCTGTAGGAAACATGCCGTCCACACTCAGGGACAAGTGGAGACTGAAGGAGAGCGCTACAGGACAGCTCAAAACCATTCTCAGTCTTCTGCCTGAGAAGCTACCTTGTCCCATCTGTTCACAGCCCAACTCTTTTCACTCCCCATCACCCCTAAGGGGATAGTTATCTGGGGGTGGGGGAGTACTGGCAGCTTAGTAATTAAATCCCTCTAGATAGGATCCAGGGAAGATATCATATGTCAGATTCAGCTTTGGAACAAGGATCGTTAGACTAATCAACTGCTTTGAGTCCACAGAGTTTTCATAGACAACTATGTAATAGGACTGTGTCTGATTCTTGTCTTTAGTGGGTTTGTTCTAGTGAGGCCCCCTAAACAAAAAAGCCCAAAGGAATTCTAGTTAGGCAGCCCAGTGCCTCTTCTTCTACCTGTCAAACCATCTGTTTGGGGATCCCATTGCTAAGCCTGTCTTCTTTCTGTCTATGAGAGCTCTCCACTCTCTCGTGCCTTCTGTCTGTCTGCTGTACGTAACCAGGGCATGTGTTTTCACATGTGCTCCTATAAAACTGTGATGCTAGACGATGCGTGGAGGTGAAGGTGACGGTGAGCTCTTCACCGGGGCTCACCCCACACGACAGCAGGCGTGTGTATAGGAGGAGAATGGGCATCTTCAAGAGGGGCCTGAGGAGAGCTGGCTTTGAGAATGTGGGTGTGTTCAGGGGGTGAGGGGTTCTGTGAGGGAGCTAGCAGAAGACATTTAGCTGGAAAGGACCAGCCCATGAAGCAGCCATTCCCAAACACTTGCTGAATGAAGCATGTGGACAGGTATAGCCTCATCCTTGTAATCGTCACCTAAGGCAGCACATGACAGAAAGGTAAGCCCTAAGACAAGTTAGAAACGCTTGCACTTATCTTGCTTTACGCTCTAAGGTTCTACAAATTCATCCTTCTCCTGAGAAGGAGGACATATTCCTCTGTTTCTGCATGCTGGACCAGTGGCCTAGAGTATACTTTTAGTAAAGGCTGACAAAAGACCCTACCATACCACACACAGGACAGGCATTGAAAGTTTCCAAGCACAAGATAAGGGAGCCTTTTTTCTTTTTTTTCTCTCTCTCTTTTTTTTTTTCCCTTTCTTTTCTTTTTTGATTTTTTGAGACAAGGTTTCTCTGTGTAGTTTTGGTGCCTGTCCTGGATCTCATTCTGTAGACCAGGCTGTGCTGTGGGATGTTCTGTATGTTAAATGTGTTGCTCTGATTGGTTAATAAATAAAACACTGATTGGCCAGTAGCCAGGCAGGAAGTATAGGTGGGACAAGCAGAGAAGAGAATTCTGGGACCAGGAAGGCTGAGTCAGATAGACACTGCCAGCCACCGCCATAACAAGCAAGATTTAAGGTACTGGTAAGCCATGAGGCAACTTATAGATTAATAAAAATGGGTTAATTTAAGATATAAGAACTAGATAACAAGAAGCCTGCTGCGGCCATACAGTTTGTAAGCAATATAAGTCTCTGTGTGTTTACTTGATTGGGTCTGAGCGGTTGCAGGACTGGCAGGTGAGAGAGATTTGTCCTGACCCTGGGCCAGGCAGGACTGGAGAAAACTCTAGCTACAAGGCTGGCCTAGAACTCACAGAGATTCCACCTAGTTCTGCCTCCCGAGTGCTGGGATTAAAGGCTTGGCAGGCCTTTCTTTACAGTCCTCAATTCTTCCAATGAGCTAGAACTTGCCATCAAGCAGAAGGAGATATACACAGAGGTAAAGTCAGAACTCAGATCTGCAGAATCAGGCTGCATAAATCCAGAGGTTTCCAGGGCCAACAGGAAGACCCCTATTATAAAGAGGCCAGACTACTGATGGCATTAAGAAGGTGTTGAGAAAAGAACACAGGAGCCAAAGAGTGGGTATGAGAGAATCTTCCAATAGGAAAGTTGCCAGGCAGAGAAGAGAATAAGCCTAGTGTTGCTGCAAAGCACAAGGCACAGGACAGATCATGAATGCACTAGACTGTCTGCTCTCACTCTCCCTCCCTTCACACTTGTCACCAATGGCACCACCAGCCCCGGGGAGGCCTCCCAATGCCTGTCGGTCTCTTTCTTCTCCAGTCTGCCTCAAATCCTCTCAACATTCCCTAACCCACTGCCATCCTGCCCGAAACCTATGCAGGCAACAATATCCCTTTACTGAAAGGAGGACACAAGATGGGAGCCCTCTTACTCTCAAAACTACTTAACAGCAACATCCACTTGGCTCCTGGCCCTCCTTCTCAGGTAAGGTCACCACTGCTCTGCCTCCCTCCTCCCCACCTTCACACAAAGTAGTTACAGAGGGCTACAAGCTTTCTCCTTTTTCTATTTTTTCAGGAGGACAGTAATATTCAGGATGCATATGTTCCTTTTGTGGGGAGTCCTAGGTCTTTCGCCTTCTCTTTGCTGTCCTTCCTCTAGCAGGTTATTTAAGGAGAGGCATACTCTTTCATCCTGGATCCCTCCCCTTCTTAGCCTCTCCTACTCAGTACATAGTCCTCACACCTACAAGAACCCTTCTCTGACCCCAGGTTGAGTAGAGGCCTGGTTAAATTTCTTTCTTTGTTTGTTGAAACAGGATTTCTCTTGCATAGCCCTGGCTGTCCTGGAACTCACTCTGTACACCAGGCTGGCCTCAAATTCAGAGATCTGCCTGCCTCTGCCTCCCTAGTGCTGGGATTAAAGGTGTGCACCACTGCCACCCTGCCCCTGCTTAAGTTTCTATAGCATGCTAAAGTGTACTCCAGAGCTATTAGCAAAACCCTCAGCAAGACCTGGATCTTTTAGTCTCCATGATGGGAGAGGCCCACATCTGCTAGGCTACCTAGTCTCATCACAACCTGCTAGTATGCAGCACACTAGGAGCCAGGGGCACAGAGAGGACCATGGAGAGAAACCATGCTTGGAGTGGACACACAACACTGTCTTCTAGGCTCCTCAGATCCAGTCCTGGGTTGCAGTGGCTATATTCCCAGGCCTCTGAATCTCAACTAGAAGACTTCCTGTTCCCATCAGACTCCACAAAGCATCTTTGGAAGGCATAGGCTACCAGGAACTCCAGCTGGTGTGGCTGTGGTCTCACATCTGGCTACCAGGAAACCTACAACTTAGAGGCCAGTACTGAGAGCCACAGGAATATGCCTGAAGCTTACCTTTTCCGTGGCTGGGATCCAATCTGCTTGACAGCCTGTTCCTCTGTGTAAAAGAGCAGGCTTCTCTGCAAGGTCGACACGAGCAGCACTTTCTGGCTGTAATCCAGCTGCACAATGGAAGACGGCTCTTCCAACACAAGGTGTGAGCTGCAGGTACCCTGTGAGAGAGCCAGGCCAGGGGTGGGTCAAAGCTGCCCAGCTTCCCTCACAGTGGTCAGACATACTTCTTGCTAATGTACTGAACTCAAAAGCACTCTGTGGTACCAGGCACGGTGTGCATACCTACAATCTCAGCACTTGGAAGACAGAGGCAAGAAGATCAAGAGTTCAAGGTCATTCTTGGCCATATAGTAAGTCTGAGGTCAGTTTGGGCTACACGAGACCCTGTCACAACAAAACAAAACAACAACAAAAAGTATGCTTTAATTTTCTCCAGATTCATTGTTAACCTACTGCAATGACATTTGGAAAATTCCTTACTAACAAGAAAACAATAAATATAACATCTATCTCATACTATATCAAGGTTGAAAAGAAACATCAAAAAACCTACATATTTCTCTAACAATGTTCTAGTAAATAATTCAAAGAAGAATCCATTAAAAATATGCCATACCATGTGTATTAAGTATCTTATAATATATAAGAGTATGATTGTCTAGGAAGTCACTGTGACAGTGGTCTGCTCTCATATTCTCTCTACAAGGAGTCTGAAGCAACCCTGTAGGCATTACATCCTTCCAACTGGAAGGGTCACAGAAAACATGTTAGAAAGAAATTAGAGGGATGGCTCAGCAGATAAAACAGGCTTGTCACACAAGCCTGATAACCTGAGTTCAACCCTAGGAACCCATTAGTGAAGCAGAGAACTGACTCCTGAAAGTTGTCCTCTGACCTTGACATGTGACTTTGAATTCTCCATACTCCTCCTTATACATACGTACACACACACACACACACACACACACACACACACACACACACACACACAATAAAAATGTATTAAATACATGATTAATAGCATTTTATAGACATACAGTGACTTTCTAAAGGCATTTTACTGTTTTTTTAAAGATTTATTTATTTATTATGTATACAATATTCTGTCTGAATATATGCATGCAGGCCAGAAGAGGGCACTGGATCTCATTACAGATGGTTGTGAGCCAACATGTGGTTGTTGAGAATGGAACTCAGGACCTCTGGAAGAGCAGCCAGTGCTCTTAACCGCTGAGCCATCTCTCCAGCCCCATTTTACTGTTAATACAAAACACATTTATGTATCAAGAATCTGATTTTAATCCAGGTATAGTGGTACATGCTGCTAATCTCGGCATTCAGGAGACTGAGATAGGCTTTGCTGTGAGTTCAGAGCCAACCTGAGCTATATATAAAGACTCAGTCTCAAAAAGCCTGTTTCTGTCACTCTTCGTCTCAGCAGCCTCTCCTGGTTCCATCAGCAGTCTGCTCACAGAGATGAGGGGAGCAACAACCGCAGCAGCACTGTGATCAACTGTCTAAGAATAATGCTGCAAGAGCTGGGCGTGGTGCAGGCCTTTAATTCCAGCACTTTAATCCTAGGAGAGCTAGGCAGATCTCTAAGTTCAAGGCCAGCCTGATCAATATACCAAGTTCCAGGACAGCCAGGGCTGCACAGAGAGACTGTCTCAAAACAAAAACAAACAAACAAAAAGAATAATGCAACATTACTGACCTTCGTGTGTCTAAGAGGACAATGAGATCCACTGATAAAATTTATACACAGTAAAATCCACCATTTTTAGGTTTCTGACTTCAATTTTCATATATCTATAGTTATCTAACTACAACACAATCAACCACAATCAAGATGGTGAAATTTCCATTCTCTCCAAATACTGAAAACTTTGAAGGCAGATTCCCCTTTGTCTGAGTTAGTCAGAATGTAACTTTCTAGTTGTTAACTTAGCCTACGATAGGGTTACACTATGCTGTATTTCATAAAAACAAGTATTCTCTCGTCTTTTTTTTTTTTTCTTTCAAATCTCATTAAGCACCTGTGTCTTTTAAAATAAGTTTTCAAGGGCTGGAGAGATGGCTCAGCAGTTAGGAGCATGGGTTGCTCTTCCAGAGGCCCTGGGTTTGGTTCCCAAGACCCACAAGGAGACTCACACCACCTCCAACTCCAGTTCCAGTTCACTCCAAAGGATATGATGCCCTCTTCTGGCCTCTGATGGGGCACTGCACACAAGTGATGCATAGACATACATGCAGGCAAAATATTCAGGTACATGAAATAAAAATAAATCTTTAAAAAGAAATAAATAACTCTTCAGGGTGTTTCTGGACATTTTCCCCCCAAATTTTATTTCCCTTCCATTTCCTGAATAGGGACGCGTGAGTGGCTCTCTCTTGGCTTCTTTAGCGATCTGCTCATAGGGACAGGAGTGGATGGCAGGGAGCAACAACTCCACAGAAGCACCAGGAAAGAGCAGAATCTAAACCCTCGATACCTTGACAAGAGATGTTCCCACAGAGCAGCAGTTCTAAGTGGGATCCACATACCCCTAGGTCTCTAAGACTCTCTCATAGCATATGCCAGGCCCAAACCATTTTCATAGAACACTGAGATATTGTTATATGCCCTTTATCTGAAATTTTAAAATTGTATTTTATGTGTATGGGTGTTTTGCCCGATGTATGTTTGTATATCATATATGTCCCTGGTAGCCACGGAGGCCAGAAGAGGGTATCAGATCCTCTGGAACCCGAGTTACAGATGGTTATGAGCTATCATGTGAGTGCTGGGAATCGAACCTAGGTCTTTTGGTAAAGCATCCTGTGCTTTTAACCTTTGAGCCATTGATAAACCAGCCTGCCTCCAACTTAGGCTTCAAAGCCATCTTATAGTAAAGATAAACTAGGTCCATTCATGTTTATAATTAAATCTCTGTTTATCAAGGATTCAGGTCACCTGTAACCTGAACTACAGATGGTAGTTATACTGCCTGCTGCAGGAAACGGCAACCATGTCTTTGTTTCTAATGGTTGTTATGAGCACCTTTTCATGTTGCTCCCATGATTCTGTCTATTTGCCTGCGAAATCCCCTATTTGGAAACCCTCTACCTTGGTGCTATAAAAACCCTTATCTTGCCCATGTTCAATGCTGATCTCTTGAACCCCACCTGTAGGGGGAGACAGCCCATGAACCCAAATTAAAAACACTTGTTTTAATTTATTTGGCCATGGTGGTTTGGGTTGGTGATCTTTCTCCTCCCATCTTTGGGATTAACATCATCTCTCTATCTGCATGCCCTTTCCATCACTACTGTTGTTTTGCTAAATGGATGTGTCATGCCCACCAAAATGCCCTCTAAAGGCTTTCACTGAAAGCACAGGAACCACTGTGTATAGAGCCACTTGGAACCTCATCATGAACACTGACCACTGCACCAAACTCTACAAAAGTCACCATTCCCCCACCACAAACTCACACTAAAAATATGATCTTGATGGAGAAAAATGGTAATTTCACCCCTAGGAAATGGTGGTTTTGCACTGGATATGACCAAATGGAATGTGCACACATGGACCTCCTGCATAATGAAGCACACTGCGTCTCAAGGAAAAGAACCTGTAGCTGGTGGTGGTGGCACATGCCTTTAGTCCAAGTGCTCAGGAGGCAGAGGCAGGTGGAACTTTGAGTTCCAGGCCAGCCTGGTCTACAGAGTGAGTTCCAGGACAGCCAGGGCTACACAGAGAAACCCTGTCTTGAAAAACAAAAAACAAAACAAAACAAAACAAAAAATTCTGTGCCATGGGAGGAGTGTAACTCAAACCAGATGTTGTTTTTACACACCATTTTCACTTGAAACACTGTAATTACAGGGAGTGAGGTATTGGCAGACATTATCTATGTAAATAAAGAGAGCTTGTTGTTTCAGTATTTGTTACCTTCAAGTGAAGATGAAAATTTTGAAAACTTGTATCTATATAAATTAGACAAAATTCCAAAAGCTGGAGAATTTTGTGATCAGCATCATGGAGATATTAGTAATGGCATTTTCCTTTCTTTTTTAAAAACTATTTACTTATTTTATGTAATATAGGTGTTTTGTCTGCATGAATGTCTATGCACCAAGTGTATGCCTGATGCCCCAGAGGCCAGAAGAAGGTGTCAGATTACACAGAACTAGAGTTAGTTGCGAGCCACCCCGTGGGTGCTAGAAACTGAACTCAGGTCCTCTGGAAGAGCACCCAGTGCTGCTCTCAACTGCTTAGTCATCTCTCCAGCCTCAGCCTTCTGATATTATATAATACATGTGTGAACATCTGGAAGATCAGCACCCTCTGAGATTCCTATTCTTCTGTGACTGGCACGTGATACTGAAAATCATGCAAGGGTAAGAGATCCCCTCAAAATATAAGATAAACCACGGGTTTTAATGTAACAAGGTAGGAAAAACCCACCAATGGTTTTAGATTCCACACTGCAATCAGTTTTTTTAAAAAAACCCCACGTGACAAAGCTGCTCCCTAAAGCCACAGGATAGGCTGCCTCTTGTCTGTGAAGCAGTCCTCAGAAGCCTTAGGAATAATATATGTTACTGCTTTACTTTTGAAAGATTTCTTCTTTTTATTTTATGTGCATGAGTGTTTTGCCTGCATGCATGCCTATGCACCACTTGGGTGCCTAGTTCCCAGAGGTCATGGAGGGTGCTGGATCCCCTGGGAATGATTCCAGGCAGTTGTGAACTGTCACTGTGAGTGCTGGGAATAGAACCCAGCTCCTTTGGTAGAGCAGTCAGTATTCTTAATCTCTAAAATATCTGTGGTGGTTTAAATAAGAATGGCCCCCATAGGCTCATATAGGTGTGGCCTTGTTGGAGGAAATGTGTCACTGGGAGTGAGCTATGAGGTTTCAAAAACCCACGCTAAGCCCAGTTTTTCTCCCTCTCTCTTCCTGCTCCTACAGATCAGGATGTAAAGCTGTCAGCTCCTGCTCTAGTGCCATGCCTGGCTGCTTCCCACCATAATAATAGTGGACTAACCTCTGAAACTGCAAGTGAGCCCCCAATTAAATGCTTTCTTTTAGAAGAGTTGCCTGATCGTGGTGTCTCTTCAGAGCAATAGAACACTGACCAAGACAGCATCTCTCCAACCCCTGCCAGTGCTTTTGGTTGCCCACTAAAACCAGATGATAAGATCCTATTGCTGGACACACCCACGCTTAGGTTGCAGGGCACAGAGAAATCAAGCAAGAACTGAGCTGGAAGCTTACTCCTTGCTGCCCAGTTTTCAGAGTGCCAGAAGGTAGTGCTATGCAGGTTTCTAGAGGAAAAAAAAAAATCAGTCCTACCCCATTTTGGACCCACCTGTCAGGCAAAGTATGCCAAAGGTCCACACCACAGGAGGGAATTCATGCTTGTTAGTATAAAGCTGGTCAAAAGCCCACAGCTAGAGATGTCATAGGTACTAGCTGGGAAGCTACTATTGTTGTTTTGCTAAATGGACATGTTGTACCCATCAAACTACCTTCTAAATATTTGTGTTTATGCTCTTAGATTAGTGCTTCTCTCAGTGTTAATCAGAGAAGCTTCTTTTTGCAGTGGGTAGAATTTAACTGAAAAAATTCAAAACTGGTCAATTTGCCTCTGGCTCTCAGATACCCAATCAGTTTTAATGACTTTTCCTATTATATTTACGTGGTGAGCTGCATGCCCATGCCACAGCACATGTGTGAAAGTTAAATGACAACTGAAAGGGGTCAATCAATTCCTTTCTGTCACGTGGGTCCAGGGCATCACACTCAGGTCATCAGGCTTGGCAGCAGGTGACCTCACCCACTGAACTGTTACCAATACTCCCTAGCAGTCGTTCTAAACTTTCTGGTCTCAGAACCTTTTATACTCTTAGAAAGATGACCCCAAAAGTGTTTGTTTTGTATGGATTATATCTATAAAATGTACCGTGTTAGAAATTCCAACTCAGTGGGTAACAGTTCAGTCTTAGATTAGAGGGCTAATAAAATAGTAAGTGCTGCTAGGCATAGTGGCTATTTCAAAACAAACAAACAAACACAAATCAAGAAACCCCACTAAGTTATTAGAATCTAACACAGGGAATGAAGGGGAAAGGGAAGTCCACCAAATGTTTAGTCCATCCGGCAGGCACATGGCAAAAAACAAAACACAGGCATTATAAGGCCTGACCTGCAGTAGGAAAGCCATGGGCTTTGGAGCAGAACCTATTTGAAAGGAGTCTGCCAGGTCCATGCTTATGCCCCTGGACTGAATCCTGGAAATAAGAACATACAGACAGGCTGCCAAGATGGCTGAGTGGATAAAAATGCTTTGCTGTCTGGCCTGATGACCTGAGTGTGATCCCTGGGACCCACATGGTGGAAGGAGAGCTGACTCCTGCAAGTTGTCCTCTGACCTCCACACACACTGGGGAAAGTGTGTGTAAGGCCCCATGCCCCCACACAAAATAAAGTGAAAAATGTAGACCACATACAACCCCAGGTGCTCCGATGAAGAGGGTCTAAAATGACATGTAACTGGGGTAGAACACCGTGCTCCTGTTAAGTCTTTCCACCACTTCCTCCATAGGTCTTCTGTGGAAGATGCTGGCTGGAGCTAAGTTCTCCATTCACTGGATCTCTACTCTTTGTCCACAGACATGACTGGAAACATGTACAATCTGTTCTTTTGTTCCTTTTGAGATACTTGAACTATGTAACTCCAGCTGGCTTGGCACTTTCTATGCAGCCCAGGCTGGCCTTAAACTCATGAAAATCCTCCTACTTCAGTTCTCAAGTGCTGGAACTACAGGGCAGTGCCATGTCTGACTCAACTTTGTGACCTCCACCATTGGTTTTGCAGGCCAACTCTTTAGTCACAGTGAAAGACGCTTATAAACCACTGGAAACGTCCACGAGAGAGAAGGCTGTAACAACTGGTGGTGGAGGGCACAAGCCACCGAGTGTGAGCAAGACTGAGGTGTACTACAGACAAAGAAGGCAATGGACAGCATCTCTGACGATCCCCTCACCTGATCTAGATCTAGAGAGGAGTAGACGATCTTCCCCTTGTCATCTCCGGAGAACAGCTTCATCCCATTGGGGCTCCAAGCCAGAGCTGTAATGCTGGTTTTATGAACACCAGTGACATCAAATCTCCGAAGCTATGGGGGACAACAGAACAAGGGAAGGGAGAGCTGAGTGACTGCAGTTATGTGACTGTCACTCCTGCTCTGGGAGGAGCTGGTTTTCCACACACAACTGTGCACAAGGTTCCCTCTGTCTATCCACATTCGAAACTCACAAGATGGCTCATCGGATAACAGCAATTGTGGCCAAGCTTGGGGATGTGAGTTTGATCTCTGGAATCCATATGGTAGAACGAGAGAACTGACTCCCCCAAGTTGTTCTCTGACCTACACACATGAGCTGTAGCACATGTGCATGCACACACACACACACACACACACACACACACACACACACACACACACACACTACAATTAAAAAAAAACTCACAAAGAACACAAGAGGGCATTAAGGAAAAGTAAGAGCACTAATATGTGCTTTATGCCGAATGTCCCGTGCAGGGACAAAGATATCACCCAGTTATAAGCAGCACAATGTCATGGTGAATATATGATTTCTTGGCAGAGAAGGACTGCCATACCTTTCTTTTTTTTGAGACTATGTAGGCCAGGCTGGCCTCAAACTCACAGGGACCCACCTATCTCAGCCTTGAGAGTGCAGGGATTGAAAGGCGTGTACCACATTACCCAGCTCTGAGGATTTCTCATCTTAAAAATCCTGAGGAACCTGCCAAGAAGGGAAGCAATGCTAGAACCTGAGCACTCACCTGCTTGTTCCTCCCCGGCAATGAAGACACAAGTTGGAAAACTGCCACCTTCCCAGAGGCGGTGCCTGCTGCCACAAGGTCATCAAAGCAGCTCAGCAGCTTCACCACGGTGATAGACTCCATCTTCCCCTAGAGGAGGACACGCCAAAAACAAACTACCTGTGACCAGAGACACTTAAATGAAAAAAAGGAGCTGTAAAGCCAGAACCATGAAAGTAGGCCCTGGGCTGCAGCATATAAATTTCTGACTGGAAATGTATACAAGTCAGAAAGAAAAATTTTTCTAGGATCTCTGCTATTATTATTATTATTATTATTATTATTATTATTATTACTATAACAATATATAGAATCCCAAATTACCATTTTGAATACATTTCGGTACACAGTATATCTATAGTGTATAGTCATCTATTATTATCCTCCATTCCCAGAATTATTTTCATGTTGTAAAGTAGGAACTTTACACCCATCAAATAATAAGCCCCATTTGTTGGTGGTGGTACACGCTTTTAATCCCAGCACTGGGGAGGCAGAGGCTGGCAGATCTCTGAGTTCAAGGGCCAGCCTGGTGCACAGAGAGAGTTCCAGGGCAGCTAGGACTGTTTCACAGAGAAACCTCGTCTTGAAAAACAAAAACAAAAATAAAAAAACCCAAAAAACTAATAAATCCATTTTCCCATCAGACCCCTCCCCACCCAGCTTCTGGCAACTCCCTTCTCTTTAGACCTCTAGAACTCTAACGCCTTATTGCCTGTCTTTTTCCAACTGCCGTATTACCTAACACAAGGTCCGTAAGGTCCATGAAACATGCTGCGGCATCCATCAGAATTTCCCTCGCTCCATCCCTTTACATAGTCATACACAGTTTGCTTACTCATTAATCATTTGTTGTCATGGATGTTTCTATTTTGAGACAGGGTCTCTTTATACTACCTTGGATGACCTTGAACAAACCGCCCCTTCTCCCCCTTCAGCTTCTCACATGCTGGGATTATTGCTCATTTGCCACCATGCCTGGCTTTATCCACTCCTGTTTTTGTTTTGTTTGTTTGTTTGTTTGTTTGTTTTTTGTTTTTTCCCTAAGACAGAGTTTCTCTGTTTAATCCTTGCTGCTGTCCTGGAACTCACTTTGTAGACCAGGCTGGCCTTGAACTCACTGAGATCTGACTGCCTCTGCCTCCCAAGTGCTGGGATTAGGGCATGCACCACCACCACCTGGCTACTCCTGTTCTTATTTAATATTACTTTTTAAAGTCAGTACACAAAGCCAAGGGTTTCCTTACAACATATTCACACATACATATCATTATACTATGTTCTTGTTCCCTCCCCTCCCCTTTTCCCTCTAGATAGCCTTCTTGACACTTTCAAGCCACAGGTAGTCCATTACCCTGTCTGTCTATCTTTTTTCTTTTTTGCAGGCAGGGTCTCACTATGTGGACCATGCTAGCCTCGAACTTGCAGAGATCCACCTGCCTCTACCTCCACATCCAGCTATCCTGGTGATCTCAATATCCACTAATCTTTCAAAGAAGACTTGAATTATTTCTCACTTTAGACACTGTAAATAATGCTATGCAGAATGTACAAATATCTCTCGAACTCCTGCTTTCAAGACAGGTATGACAGTGCATGTCTATAACTGCACAACATGAACTACCTTATTTATTTGTAATTTCTCTGAGATAGTCGCATGCAGTCAAGGGTAGCTTCAAACTTGAGGATGATTTTGAACTTTTTTTTTTTGAGATAGGTTTTCTTGGTGTAACAGTCTCAGCTGTCCTGGAACTCGATCTGTAGACCAAGCTGGCCTCGAACTCACAGAGGTCTGCCTGCCTCTGCCTCTCAAGGGATTAAAGGTGTGCACCACCACTGCCTGGCTAACTTTGAACTTCTTGGTCCTCCTACTTCTACCTCGGAGTGGTAGGATTTTAGGACGATGCCACTATGCCTGGTTTGACGTGATGCTAAGGATGAAACCAGGAGCTTCATACATGTTAGGCAAGCACTCTTGACTGAGCCACATCCCAGTCCTCACAGTGATCTTCATACATTGAACTATCCTTACATTCTAGGAATCGATTTGATTTTGATCATGGTATATAATTCTTTGAACCTGCTGCCGAATTCAGTTTGCTAGCATTTTTTGAGGATTTCTGTACTGATGTTCACAAGGAATGATGCTCTATGGTTTTATCTGGTATCTCTGTCAGGCTTTGTTATCAAAGTAATGTTCTTGTTACTTTTTTTTAGAACTTTTATTATTTGTAATTATGTGTATGTTTATACACACATGTGCATGCACTTATGAATACAGTGCCCACGGAAGACAGAGGTATCAAATCTCCCTGGAGCTGGAGTTACAGCTGCTTGTGAACAGCCTCATATAGGTTCTGGGAACAGAACTCAAGTCTTCTGCAAGAAAAGTATGTGTTACTAACCACTGAGCAATCTCTACTGCTCTTTTATTTGTTCTTTACAGTGATTTATGTTGTTAGTTGTGTCAAATATTCACCTTGTTTTGTGTTTTCAGTATTGAGCACTGAACCTACGATCTTGTGCGTGCTAGGTAAAGTTTCCACCACTAAGCTATATCCCCACCCCTTACTTATTAAATTGTTAACATTGATTTATTTAGTGTGTAAGGGAGAGTGTGCCATATCATGTGTAGAGGTCAGAGGACAATTGAGTGGAGGTGGGTTTCTTCCTCTACCATGTGGGCTCCAGAGATCTAAACTTAGGTCATCAGGCTTGACAACAAGTGCCTTTACTCTCTGAGCCACCTGGCTGATTTTATTGTTCTTCAAATGTTTAGTTGAATTCATTAGTGAAGCTAACATGTACCATTAGCTTTACTTTACCAGTTTTTACTGCTATCATTATTACTAATTTGATACCTCACTAATAGAGATGTACTAAGCTTTTCTTAAAGAGTGATTTTAAATTCATTGTATATGTATTGTGGTAAGATCCAATTGCTAAAGACAACACCTACATTTCTCACTGAACACAGAGAAGCTGAACAGGTGCCTAACTAGAGCCTTCGCCCCTACTGACCAGTGCTCATGGTACTGAAAGTTACTCTACACACTACCAGAGGAGAAAGGTAAAGATCAACCTAGCTGTCTTAGTTAGGGTTGCTATTGCTGTGATGAAACACCCTGGCCAAAGAAACTTGGGGAGGAAAGGGTTTATTTGGCTGATTGTAGTAGTATTTGCTCCGCCCATGACATTGGGCTATAGGGCCTGACAGAGGTAGTGCTTCCTGCCATTGTCATGACCTCTTAAAAGGAGAAGGAGAAGGGGACCCTTCTCCCTGCTCCTGCCTGCAAGACAGATTCGCTCCCGGTCAGTTCAGAGGACAACTTCAGCTGTCTAATCCATTCTGTATTCCTGACTGTATTTCCTCAATTTACCTTAATAAATTTCCCTAATATTTCTTAAACAGACTCCCGTGGATTTATCACTTTAGCTGATACTTCCATATCACTGTTCATCATGAAAGGAAGTCAGGACAGGAACTCAAACAGAGCAGGAATCTGGAGGCAGGAGCTGATGCAGAGGCCATGGAGGGATGCTGCTTACTGGCCTGCTCCCTGTTTTTCTCAGCCTGCTTTCTTATAGAACCCAGGGCCACCAGCCCAGAGGACAGCACCACCCATGATGGGCTAGGCCCTCCCCCTATCAATCACTAATTAAGAAAATGCCTTACAGATGGATCTTATGGGGCTGGGGAGATGGCTCAGAAGTTAAGAGCACTAGCTGCTCTTCCAGAGGTCCTGAGTTCAATTCAAGACAGAGTTTCTTCGTATAGCCCTGGCTGTCCTGAACTTGCTCTGTAGACCAGGCTGGCATTGAATTCACAGAGATCCGCCTGCCTCTGCCTCCTGAGTGCTGAGATTAAGGGTGTGCACCATCACCACCTGGCTGCCACGGCACTCTTAGAATTCTACATCGAGATTGGCAGTCAACAGGAAGAGGGAGAGAGACACTGGACATGGCTTGGGTTTCTGAAACCCCAAAGCCCAACCCCAGTGACACACTTCCTCCAAGGCCACACCTACTCCAACAAGGCCACATGTCCTAATCCTTTCAAATAATGCCACTCCCTATGAGCCTATGGGGGCCATTTTCATTCAGACCACCGCAGCAGTATTCATTTTATTGCTACATTCCCTTACCAGAACAATAGTTTTTGATTTCCCCCTAGGTCCCTGGCCTACCCAGCCTCATACTCTTGGCCAGCTGAGCAGTGTTTAGGCATGGAGTACGCCTTAGATCCAATCAGATGGTGGTTGGTGGCTCCTACCACTTTTGTGCCACTGTTGCACCAACGGATCATCCAGGCAGGTCAACATTGCAGATCAACAGTTTGTAGCTAGTGTCCTGGCTACTTTTATGTCAACGTGACACAAGCTACAGTCATCGAAAATGAGGGAATCTCAATTGAGAAAATGCCTCCATAAGATCCATCTTTTTTTTTTAAGATTTATTTATTATGTATACAGTATTCTGTGTGCATGCCAGAAGAGAGCATCAGATCTCATTATAGATGGTTGTGAGCTACCATGCGGTTGCTGGGAAGAGGGAGTGAGTGAGAGAGGTGAGAGAGAGAGAGAGAGAGAGAGAGAGAGAGAGAGAGAGAGAGAGAGAGAAGGAAGGAAGGAAGGAAGGAAGGAAGGAAGGAAGGAAGGAAGGAAGAGTGGTTGTGGTCATGGTATCTCTTTACAGCAACAGAAACTCTAAGATAGAAGTTGGTACCAGGGACTGGAGTATAGCTGTGATAGGCCAGACCATGCTTTTGTTTGGAGGAATGTAGACTTTGGTACTCTGGGTTAGAAAAGCAGTGGAATGTTTTAAGTACTGCTTAATGGGTCATACTAGTAGGAGCATGGAAGACAGTGGTGCTGAGCATTATGAGGTAAAGAGTTTTGCATTAATTCCATTGGCAGAGGAAATCTCAAAATAGCCCAGTATAGCCTCTGTCTTACGGTTATTAGTGTTAATTCTGATGAAGATTTATAATGAAAAGGTGCAAGCTGAGCAGGGAAATTACAAAATGTAAATTTTAAGGAGAAAAAGAACACTGGGAAGTGGACTGGAGATAAGTCCTGTGTTCAATGAGATAAATGGATTAAGAAATGGAATAAGAGCCTGAGGGCGGGGCTGCCGGGCAGCGTGGGGCGGCGTGGCGCAGCGCACTTAGCTGGCTTTGCAGCGGGTGAGCCGGTGAGCCAGGCCGATGGCGGTGACTACAGCCCTGTCTGCTGCAGCGGCGGCTGCGGCTCTATCAGGCCTGGCAATGCGACTGTCGCGTTGGGCGGCGACACGCGGCTCCTACAGCGCCTTCTGCAAGGGGCTCACGCGCACGCTGCTCACCTTCTTCGACCTGGCCTGGCGGCTGCGCGTGAACTTCCCTTACTTCTACATGGTGGCCTCGGTGATGCTCAATGTCCGCCTGCAGGTGCGGATCGAGTGAGCCGTCGCCCGGCACCACGGCGGCCCCTCGGGCGGAGAGCGCCATCCGCGCCACCCGCGCCAGACGGCCGCCGGGAAGGACCGTGGGGCCCCGCAGTGCCCAGAGACCGCGGCGGGGGGCGCAGGCGGGACGGCCCGGACCCCTCCATCTTAGGTCTCCTCCGCGGAGGGCCCCAGGTACCATATCCCATACCGCAAAAAACCTTCACAGCCGAGTCCTTTTCCACTGCATCCAGAGAATCACCAGAGTCTGGCAAACCTGTTGCCTCCCATTGGCCAGAAAGGGGGAACACTCGAAAGAGGGGATGCTACCGCAGGATTTACCAGGCCCTGTGCAGGAAGGCTCCCTGCAGCACCTGCGATCACACTCTCCAGACCCAGAAGCCCATCCACCAGCCATGAGCAGCCTGGCAGCTGTGTACCACAGGATCTGGGGAAGTGGTCTTGCTCTTCTAGGTGATGGCTCACCACTTCTGAGATCATTTCAAGATGGATCCCTACATAGAGATGTCTGCTGCTGTTCCTGTAGCAGCCCGGGGAGCAGCCGAGTGAAGAGCCTACCTAGAAGAGGAAAGGCCCTTCTGGTAGAGGCCTAGAGGGGTGGCGTGGCTCGGGTCTTCTGGCCCTTCCATAGAAAAGATACCAGTGTACCTTGGGCACTGATATCTCCTAGCAACACTGTGAGGGAGAGGTATTCTCCCACCTCAGGAACTCAGCGGGGCTCAATGCAAGGCGTGGGATTTGCCCTTGTTACACAGAATAGTGGGGAGCTTGGCCTGCCCTGGACCTCCATTCCCCCACCTCCTCTGCAGTCTTCTTTGTGACCTGGCAGGACATTGGGGTTGGGAGGGAGTAGAGAGCTGCCAGGGGACCTAGGGAGAAAGAGAGACCATGGGGTAGGGAAGCTGGGCATCTTCCTTTCCTGGGAGTGGTCTAGAAGACAGGCCAGTAGTTGAGTTCATGAACAGAGAGGAAGGTTCGAGAACTTCCTGAAATGTCTAGTCCTCCCTGCCTCTCTGGTGCTTGACCAAGGGCTCCTGAGCAGTTGTGTGCTAGTGGACTGCAGATGTGGTTCATGGGAGGCTGAGGAACTACGGGCTGAAACCCATGGTTTGTATGGCCCTGTTTTTGTTCCCAGGCTTGCAGCCCCATCCCTAGCATCACATGGGAAAAATCTCCTCCAGATAGGTGGAGGACAGTCTGTCCAGGAGGCCCTGCATAGGCTAGAGTCTCCAAATGCCCAAGGACAGCCCAAGGGATACTTTTACTACTTAACCAACATTCCCCCAGCTTTTCTGATGCTGGTATCTCAAGGTCCGTGCATTCCATTCCTGATGCAGAAACCTTCAGCATGCCAGCCAGCCCCAGGGACAGAGTGACCCATCTGCCTACTTGGAGTCAGAGACCCAAATGGAGATCTGTCTCAGCTGAAGGACACAAGCTGAAAGGTGGCTGCTACATGTTCTCCGCTCTTTGCCATAGCCCAGGACCCGATGGTTTCCTTCTGCCAAGTCTTGCTGAGTAGTCTGTATATGTATGTTTGAATGCATGTGTGCACGCCTGTGTGTAAACATGTGTGATGGAGATGGAGCTGTTGGGTAGCGACAAGAGCTCCTGGGAATCTCCTGTTTTCTGTGTACAGGAGGGATCATGGACTACTTGGAGAAATGGGTATGGAGTCTGAGGCCCTGCCAGGGAAGCCCCTCCCTGCTCATGCTCAGGCATGGACTATGGTGTGAGGTCAGAGGCACTGGCATTGGACTGGATTCTGGGCCCAGTGGCGTCAGTCAGGAGACGGGGATAGAAGGAGGACTCAGCTTTGTGTTCCTGTCCCATTCTGGCCCTGAGTAGTCTGAGCTTCTGCGTCCCCCCCCTCCCCCTGGGCTCCTTTTGTTCCTCCATGATGCCCTCGCTGTGTGATGGGGTGGTGATGCACTTTATTTCCTTGCAGTCTGCATTGCAGGCTGCGGAGCTTCGATCATTTTGGAGACTTGACCTGGATGAGCGTACATTTCCTTGTGTGATGAACTCCGCATTGCCAGTGTTGTCTGGTCAGAGATGCAGTTCCGATGTTGTCACTTGTTGTTGTCTCCCAAAGTTAGAAGAAAATCTTCGAGTTCAGTACACCAAAAAAAAAAAAAAAAAAAAAAAAAAAAAAAAAAAAAAAAAAAAAAAAAAAAAAAAAAAAAAAAAAAAAAAAAAAAAAAAAAAAAAAAAAAAAAAAAAAAAAAAAAAGAAATGGAATAAGCCGGGCGGTGGTGGCACACGCCTTTAATCCCAGCACTCGGGAGGCAGAGCCAGGCGGATCTCTGTGAGTTCAAGGCCAGCCTGGGCTACCAAGTGAGTTCCAGGAAAAGGCACAAAGCTACACAGAGAAACCCTGTCTCGAAAAACAAAAACAAAACAAACAAACAAAAAAAAAGAAATAGAATAAAGGGAGTGGTGACCTCAGGGCAAGATCCCACCCAGCTAAATTTCCAACCCAGTGAAAAGGAACTAAAGAAAAGCTTAGAGCTAGGTGTGGTGGTGCACACCTTTAATCCCAGCACTAGAAAGGCAAAGGTTGGCAGATCTTTGATTTTGAGACCAGCCTGGTCCAGAGATTCAGTTTCCGGACAGCCAAGCTTAGGCAGTGAAAGACAGAAAGCTAGTGAAGATATAATTGAACTAGGGGGCCAAGTTCCATCTCCAGTAAGCAGCAGAACTTGGTAGCTTCTGTTAGCATTCAGACTCACCCCTTGGGGACCTGACCAATATGCAGGCAATACCTTAGCCCACTCAGGTCCTGACAATGTCATGTGTTCATCATGGTCTCTCTGTGCATGTGCTAGGTCCACTCATAAAAAGGCGGGGTCCACCCTCTTTTTCATATCTTTTTCTCTTTTCTTCTTCTTCCTCTTCTCTCCTCAGTTCCCTTTTCTCCCTTCCCCCCAGTAAAGCTCTATGTGAATGTGGTCTGCATGGTATATCTCTCTCTTCAGCTCCCACCTGCCGTGACTGCTGGGAGCCATTTTCAAAATACAACAGTTTCAGCCACATGGTTCTGGCTTTAGAGTTAAGGATAGAAGAAACGGGTTATGGAATTTTCCCCTGAGATTAAGGAAAGCTGCGGAGGCCAGGCATGTGTCAGGGGTGTCCATGAATGGAGGCCTAGAGAGGCCATTGCATGAAGCTATGAAACTGAAGCCTGGACTGCTTTGGAGATCCCAGGGAGTGGAACCAGCACAAGAGAAAAAGTGTGTTGCATTTTTGCAGTTAACAAAGCTGAACAGAATTGGAGATCTGACTAGTGTGTGTTTTGACAACAGACATGGAGGTGCTGGAGTTTGCCCAGTTGGTTTCGGTCTTGCTTTGGTCCAGTATTTCCTCACTATACTCTCTTCCTTATATTTTGGAATAGTAATATATATTTGTGCCATTATATGTTGGAAGTATGTGATCTGTTCTTTTATTTTTATTTTATAGGGGATTACAGTTAAGAGACTGCATGAATCTCAGAAGAGACTTTGAACTTTAGACTTTTTTTTTTGTTGTTTTTTTTGTTTTTCGAGACAGGGTTTCTCTGTGTAGCTTTGCGCCTCTCCTGGAACTCACTTGGTAGCCCAGACTGGCCTCAAACTCACAGAGATCCGCCTGTCTCTGCCTCCCGAGTGCTGGGATTAAAGGCGTGCGCCACCACCACCCAGCCGAACTTTAGACTTTTAAATAAATTTGAGGCTTTTGGGACTTTTGAAGTTGGACTGAGTGCACTTTTGCATTAAGTATGGCTACAAGACTTTGGGGGCAAGGGAGTGGAATGTGGTGGTTTGAAAGATAATGGCCCCCAAAGGGAGCAGCACTATTAGGATGTGTGGCCTTGTTGGAGTAGGTGTGGCCTTGTTAGAGGAAGTGTGTCACTGTGGGGGTGGACTTTTAGGTCTCCTATGCTCAAGCTACTCCCAGTGTCACAGTCAACTTCCTGTTGCCTGCAAGATGTAAACTCTAAGCTACTTCTCTAGCACTATGTCTGCCTACATGCTGCCATGCTCCCCACCATGGTGATAATGGAATGAACCTCTGAAACTGTAAGTGAACCATCCCAATTAAATGTTTTCCTTTATAAGAGTTGCGGTGGCCAGTGTCTCTTCCCAGCAATAGAAATCCTAACTAAGACAGATGGGTAGGAAAGTGAGGAGGATGTGGGAAGAGATGAGGGAGGAGAAACTGTGATTTGAATATTTTCTGAAAAGAAATGTATTTTCAAAAAATAAAAAAGATTTATTTTACTTTTAAATTTTATGTATATGTCTGTGAGGGTACGTGCATGTGAATGCAGGTGCCTCTGAAGGCCAGAAGAGGGTTTTGGATGCCCTAAAGCTGGAGTTACAGGTGGTTCTGAGCTCTCTGATGTTGTACTGAGAACCAGCCTGGGTCCTCTGCAAGAGCAGTACATACTCTTAAACATGGAGCCATTCTTCAAATGCCCTGGAAGTCACTTCAGCTGGAGAGGGAGGGCCCTACAACAATAAGGGGATGTTCAAAATGGTCACCTACCTTCCTGACACATTTGTGATCAGAAGCAGCTATCAGCAGTAAGAACCTACCTCAAAATATGTAGAGGACAGAGTACTTTTTAACCACTCTGGATCCTGAAAAATGAGGTGTTCCAGTAACAAAAACTGCTTTCCACAGGGTGAGGAGTGAAATATAGGTATCTACTACTGTGTTAAAGACTAAAATTGACCAAATCTACCTACCATATTTTACCGTCAAGCTATCTCTGGAAGCTACAAACTAATAGACTTGAGTTCCAAATCAATGTCTTTTCTTTTTTAAAAAATATTTATTTTTATTTTATGTACATTAGCATTTTGCCTGCATGCATGAGGGTGTTGGATCCCCTAGAACTAGAGTTACACACAGTTGTGAGCTGCCATGTGGGAATTGAATCTGGGCCCTCTGGAAAAGCAGCCAGTGCTCTTAACCTTTGAGCCATCTCTCCAGCCCCTAAATCAATTTCATTAGATAGATTCTGCACAAACAACTTCAAGCTAGGAGAGGAAATGATGCCTAGTGGTTTCCTACCATCCACTGTCTTCCCAGAAATCTCCCTTTCCATTCTAAATCTTTAATATTCAAAATAACAAAAATTTAAAAGAAATACTGATTAATCATGAATAAACTGAGCCCTTATTGAGAGAGAACTAAAGGTTAGGAGTAGTGGTGCATGATTTTAATTTCAGCATTTGGAGGTAGAGACAGGGGGTCTCTCTAAGTTAGAGGCCAGCCCGGTCTACATAGTGAGTTCCAGGACAGCCAAGGCTGTATAGAGAGACCCTGTCTCAAAAACCAAGGGAGACAGAACATGATGAAGAAAGGAGCTCTGACAAAGGTTATTTCCCAAACAATAAAAATAAATACAAAAAGAAAAGTTTGTCTGGGTGGTGGTGCACGCCTTTGATCTCAGCACTCAGAAGGCAGAGGCAGGAGGATCTCTGTGAGTTCAAGGCCAGTCTGGTCTACAAAGCAAGTTCCAGAACAGGCAAGGCTACACGGAGAGACCTGTATTGGAAGAAAAGGGAAGGGGAGGGAAGGGGAGGGAAGTCTGAAGTCAGAAGAGACCACACCAGGGCCAAGACCAACTTGATGTCTGTGTGGACAAGCACAGAGCCACTGAGAGGTGATGCCTGTCCTATCTCTCCCAGTCTTGCCCAGTTAATTAAACAATATACCTGAAAAAGATTTATAAACTGATTCCTGGCATGTTTGGTTCTTAGATCAATAATACTATTAACTAACACTGACTCAATCTTCTTGTGAGTTTATTAAAACCATGGCACAACACACAAATATTCAAGCTTCAAATCTTTTATGAGATCATCTTTTATTTTGAAATCATTTATTCATAGGAATCACACAACTGTTTCCCCTTTTGGCAAACTAACTTAATTTCTGATGTAGTAATTTCTGCAGTCATCATCCTGCCAAATATGTGAGAATACCCTCCATATTCTAGGTACCAAGAGAAGCTATGGTTTACCAAAGTAGCTTATAGTCCTGGTTCTGTTATAGATTAGCTATGAGACATGCACACGAAAAAGCTGCCTACAGCAACTGGGGGTGGTACTGACAGCTCATTTTCATATGGTACTTTACAGCTTTCAGGATATTTTCATGGGCTATAAATAAATCCAATGCCAGATGGTAATACAGGTTAACAAATCCAGATCTTAGGCAGTAAGGAACAGAGGGATCCTTTGAAGATTCTTAATCTTGCTGGTGTTATCAGTCAGGTCTTTCTTAAGCATGATTAGAAACAGGCAGGAGGAACACGGGTGTGGGGCTAGGCAGGAAGACCAGCCTGAGCCTGCTGCAATAGTTCAGGCCAAAGTTAGCAAAGAGTCAAGTCTAGCAAACCACAGTTAATGAAATGGGGCCCCAAGGCAGTAAAGCCATAATGAATACAAACTCCATCAAGATCTTCTTGGGATGCTGATAGCAACATGATAGCAGCGTATTTTTTTTTTTTAAGGCAATGTCTTTCTATGTAGTCCTGGCTAGCCTAGAACTCATGTTCACTATGTAGACCAGGCTGGCCTCAAACTCACAGAGCTCCACCTGCCTCTGCCTCCTGAGTAATGGGTTTATAGGCATGCGCCACTATGTCCAGCTACCATAACCTTTTTTATTGAATGTTTTCCTGTGACAGGCAACTTGCTAAGCACTGTACCTACATTGCTGAATCTATAATCAACCTATGAAAGGAGAAGCTATCTATCGCTATCTTTGTGTTATAAAAGAGGGGCTCCAAGACGCTGGGTAACTTGTCAAAGGCAGTTAGAAACAAGTCAGGGTCCACAAGCAAGTATGAGTATCTCTAGGACCTACTAGGCCTCAGCTCTGGGCTCTGGACCTTCTTTGAGTGAATTCAAAGATCTTGCTGATAGACAGTTTGGTAGGGGTGTGAAGAGGAAAGAGGATAAAAGGAATTGTATTATCTGGACCTACCTTACACGAGAATG